TTTTTCAAAATGTGAATTTCTCTTTCTTTTTTTTCTTTTTCTCTTTTTTTTTTTTTTTTTTTTTTCTTCTTTTGCTTTGATAGTATTAATAATGTTTTTATATATATTTTTGATTAATGTTTTTGACACCCAGAATATTCAAAGACTCTCCTCATCCAGACGAGAAGCAAAGGTTGCAGTTAAGCAGAGAGCTAGGCTTGGCTCCTCGCCAGATTAAGTTCTGGTTCCAGAACAGGAGGACCCAAATGAAGGTATGTTCCTACATTTTATTTATTTATTTATTAACTTTTAATTCATTGAATGCTTGAGAAAGTAAAGATTTCTGTTAACAAAATATTCCCAAATGAATGTTTTGCATTCGTGTGTAACATTTCTTTCTACATTACATTTTTTAATTAATTAATTAATTTATTTTTTATGACTTTAATGCATAATAATTAGATTTGTTTTATCTTTTCTTTTTCACTTATCATCACCCGATCGATGTGATGCGGCTCTAATGGTTTCGAATTAGGCTCAACATGAAAGAGCAGATAACGGTGCACTGAGGGCAGAAAATGATAGAATTCGTTGCGAGAATATAGCAATCAGAGAGGCACTCAAGAATGTGATATGCCCTACTTGCGGAGGTCCTCCTGTCAGTGAAGATTCATATTTCGACGAGCAGAAGTTGCAAATGGAGAATGCCCAATTGAAGGAAGAGGTTACTTCATTATCCCTTTCAATCTAATAACTAGTAATTTAAAGTTTGTTTGGGGGATCCAGAGTAAGTAAAATAAATGATTATTAGTTAAATTAAAAGAGAATTGGTTAAGTTGGAGGAAAACACACAAAAAAAGAAAAAAAAAGAAAAAAAAAGTAAAAAAATTGTGATATTGACATAAAAAAGGTAATAGGTGATTTGTCTCCAATTTTGTTCATTTCTTTGTAGAGATTTGAAAAGTAAGTTTTAAGAGAAATTTCACTCTATTTGTTTTTATTTCTCTCATCCTTAGTAATTCAAATAGGTGATTAATTAATACTATATTTCTCTACCCACATCACTAAATCCAAATGGATTGTAACTTGTAAGGGATAATATTGATTAAAATAATAATCTTGATTATCTGCAACAATATTTCTCCAATAATCATTATTGCAAGATTGATTGTGTTTTGAGCTTTAAACCATCTACTTAAATAATCATTAATTGTGTTTTAGGCTTAGACCACCCGTTACATTTGAATTTTTGTTTTTTTTGTTTTTTTTTAAAGAGTAATTGTTTGTGGCAGCTTGACAGAGTTTCGAGCATTGCGGCAAAGTACCTAGGGAGGCCAGTTTCACAACTCCCTCCTGTGCAGCCAATTCAAATTTCCTCCTTGGATCTATCAATGGCCACTTTCGGGGCTCAGGCGATGATGGGCGGCCACCATTCACTCGATCTTGATCTTGATCTTCTTCATCTACCGGTTAGTTCTTCGTCGACAACACCTCAAAACCTGCCATTTCAGGCAATAAACATTTCGGAGATGGATAAATCCCTGATGGCAGATGTTGCTGGGAATGCAATGGAGGAATTTATTAGGCTTTTGCAGAACAATGATGGTTTGTGGATAAAGTCCAGCAGTGATGGGAAAGATGTTCTTAATCTCGATACTTATGAGAGGCTCTTCCCCAGGGCTAATAATAAGAATCCCAACGTTCGAATTGAAGCATCAAGAGATTCAGGGGTTGTCATCATGAATGGTTTGGCATTGGTTGAAATGTTTATGGATTCGGTTAGTTAATTAATTTATTAATTTCTTATCCTCTTTTATTTTTTTTATATGTTTATTTTACTACAGTAATTAATTTATGGCAAAGGCTAATGAGTGCCTTGGGACACTATTTAATATGAAAATGAATTTGAGAACAGAGAATACTTGATTAGTCTATAAAATATGATGGAGGACTAATTTAGTGTTAATTTGCAGAACAAATGGGTGGAGCTATTTCCCACCATCATCTCCAAGGCAAGAACACTTGAAGTAATATCATCTGGAGTGTTGGGTGGCCAAAGTGGTTCCTTACAGCTGGTAAATTATTTACATACATATATATAATGGAGTTAGTAGATTTCTACTAAAACAACAATGCACACACAGAATGCACTGATGTCTTTTGTGACACATCGGTTCATTCTATGCACTTATCATTGTTGGATTCTATTAATTATTATTTCCTCTATAATTTGAATAGACATCACTGTTACATTGAAATTTTTGCATAAATTTTTCATAGATAATATAACTTAAGTTATCATAGTCTCTTCATTTTCAATCAAAATAATCATTATTGTTCTCATAATTTAAAAAATTTCATTGATATTTCACTCCAAATAATATTTTTGTAATTTTTTTTATTTAAAATATTTTATTTATGTTTGAAAGAAAAAAAAAAATTTCCAAATCCAGGGGGAGCATGTGCCCCGCTGGTCCCCCTATACGTCCGTCCCTGATTGATGCATGGCATGGCATGGATGCAGATGTATGAAGAGGTGCAGGTGCTGTCACCACTGGTAGCAACAAGGCAATTCTATGTGCTACGTTTATGTCAGCAAATAGAGCAAGGGTCTTGGGCAATAGTAAATGTCTCATATGATCATCTCCCTCAAATTCAAGAGACCTCCCTATCTTCTTCTAGTCATTCTTTGCAAGATCGATGTCACAAGCTACCTTCTGGATGTTTCATCCAAGATATGCCTAATGGCTACTCCAAGGTTATATCTCTCTCCAACTTTATAATATAATAAATCTACCAATATAGAAATCAATTACAGGATCAGACAAATCATGCATATAGATGGATAAGAATTTTTAAAAGTGCACTGCACTAGCGAACTTTGTAAAATCTAATCTCTTCATTTGTATTCTTTGTCTGATCTTGTAATTGATTTTAGTTTGCTATTACTAGCTAGCTATAGTGTGCAACATTAATCATTTTGTGATTGTGGCTTCCATATAAATTAAGGGATTGTTTGGCAATAGACTAATTTAGTCAAAAAAATTAAAGAAAGTCATAAAAACCATTCTCAAACACTTTTAGTTTTTTCTTCTCATTCTCTTTACTTTTTTTTGCACATTTTTTCATAAAAAGTCATAAAAATTATTCTCAAACTCAATTTTTTGACCTCATATTTTAGTAAAAAAAAAATATTAAAAAAACCACTTCCTAAACCAAAAAATTATTGTATAGAGTCATAATCCAAAAATTGTCCTTTAATTTGTAGTTTAGTAATTATTGTTATGTTTGGCGTGGCATTTGGGAAGTACAGGTGACTTGGGTGGAACATGTGGAGATACAAGACAAAACACCAACACATAGGCTTTTCAAAGATCTTATTCATAGTGGGTTGGCATTTGGAGCTGAAAGATGGCTTGCTTCTCTTCAAAGGATGTGTGAGAGATTTGCTTGCCTCATGGTCACTGGCAATTCTACTCGTGACCTTGGAGGTGGTCAGTACTTATACTCTTATTTATTTATTTGTTAATAGATAAATAGTGTCTTACACACTTTGATTTACAAAATTTAAAACACAATTGTTCATTCTTTATATCATGTACTCTCATAAAGAATGTACAATTATTCCATACTTACCAACTATCTCGTCTTTATGACACTCTTTAACAAAATCCGTGATTTAAAGTGATATTTCGGTAGTATGAAACTTATGCATTCTTGTGTATTAATCATGGTTTAAAATGTTTTATTTTTATTTTTATTTTTAAATTGTGGCATTGTGTTTTGGTTATGACCCAATATAATGTTTTAATTATGAATCAAAATGATGTTGATTATAAGACAATAGTATTTTACTAATTTCACAATCAAGACACGCAACCTTTTCTAAGTTATTAATAATAATAATAATGTTAGAATGATCGTATTAATCTATCACTTTTTGTGTTGTATTTATCATCTCATATGTTGTGATTACATTGATAACCGATGAAAATGATGAAACCCATTAAATGTTTTTAAGTTGTGCAGTGTACCAGCACCCTTCCTTCAATATAGCTGGTTAATCAATTATAAATTTTTTTTGGCAGTGATTCCATCATCAGATGGAAAGAGAAGCATGATGAAACTGGCACAAAGGATGATAAACAATTTTTGTGGGAGCATCAACCCATCCAACGGTCACCAGTGGACCACATTTTCAGGGTTAAATGAAGTTGAAGTCCGAGCCAGCCTTCACAAGAGTACCGATCCAGGCCAGCCCAGTGGTGTGGTCCTCAGTGCTGCTACAACCATTTGGGTCCCTGTTTCTCCCCAAAATGTTTTCAATTTCTTTAGGGATGAACGTACTCGACCTCAGGTATATTCAATTCCTACATTATATGTAGGACTCGACTTATCTCCATTTCATCATGTGGACTGGACCGTGTTGTCTGGACCGTAAGACTCACCGCAAATTCACTTCCATGGTTCAATCTATTTGTTTTTTATGTCATTGTGGGTAGAAGATGCATGGAAAACATAAAATTGATAAAAAATAATTACACCTACATTATTTTATTATGTCTCCAAAAAAAAATATATATATATACAGTCTACTTTCAAAATTATATTTGTCGAAATTGGGTATTTTGATCCAAAATTTGTTTTCACTTTTATTGTTTTAATTTGGTCTTTTTGTTCAAAGCGTATGTTAAATTCATGATTTATAGCACAATCTCATTATGAGGCCACAAAAAAATTGAAGTGAATTTGGGTCAAATTATAGGGATTAAAATTTTGGTTTATCCAACATTTAATTTGGAACTGTGAGATGCTTTAAATTTGTGTTTATTCAATTAATTTGATCTTATATGCAGTGGGATGTTCTCTTCAATGGCAATGCGGTCCAGGAGGTTGCCCACATTGCAAATGGGTCTCACCCAGGGAACTGTATCTCTGTTCTCAGGGTAATTAATTTTTCTCACTAAGATTTTGCTAAATTTTTATTAAAAAACAAAATATATTTTTTTCAATATATATATTCACCAAAATATATAGTGTTGTTACTTTTTTTTTTTTTTTAAGGTACATCAGAGATAAATATATAGTGTTGTTAGGTATATGTATATATATTCAGTTCCTTGAATTCTCTTCCCAAGTTATTTATTGACATTTTTATTGAAATAATACTATATAATTTAACAAATTTTACAAATTTTTCTTACTCACATATGTTTATATTAGTGTGTCATGTTTTAAATTTCAAATTTCCATTCGTGCTTGTCACATCTATGAATATATATATATATATATTTAATTTACAATTAATTTTTAAATTTCATTTGATTAATATTGTCAAAACAATAGCATTAATTTCATACCAAAAAGACCCATTAAAATAAATTATTTCTTATTTTAAAAATGTAACAGTAACATTGTTATGGTGAAATTTTATGTATAAATTCTTTGTTGGGAAATCGTTATCTTTTCATTTTTTGATCAATGTTGCCAAAAATAATTACTCTAATGAATAATACTGTATATGCACTCTTTTATGATCACATGGGATAATTTAATGCATGCATGCATGACCAGGCATTCAACACAAGCCAGAACAACATGTTAATTCTCCAAGAGAGCTGCATAGACTCATCTGGATCCCTGGTTGTCTACTGCCCGGTGGACCTACCCGCCATCAACATAGCAATGAGCGGTGAGGATCCATCCTACATACCCCTCCTGCCGTCAGGATTCACCATTATGCCCGACGGTCAATGCGACATGGCCGTCAGATCACGGGACGGAGGAGGAGCATCCACGAGTGACAGCAAACAGAGTCGTAGCACATCATCAGCAGGTTCGCTAATTACTGTTGTGTTTCAAATTCTAGTTAGTAGCCTGCCAACTGCCAAGATGAACCCGGAGTCGGTTACAACTGTTAATAATCTTATCGGCACCACTGTCCACCAAATTAAAGCTGCCTTGAATTGCACTACTTCCTTATGAATCTGCTTCAGCTACTCAACCATCTTTTAATACACCACACAGAGGTCAGTATTCAAAAAAAATAAAAAAATAAAAAGAGAGAAGTACTGAAGGACAATTTGGGGTAGTTGGGAATTTGAATGCTCCATCATCAATTGCTGAAGCTGACATACTGCTGCTTGGTGCTACTGCTCCTCCTACTGCTACCGGTGGTTTGGTTCATTGCAATCTGCGCCAACTTTACTTCTTAATTTCAACCCTCCTCAATTTTAATTTTAATTTTTTTTGTCCTTTTTTAAAATTTCTTTTTCTTTTTCATTTTCATTTTTTCCCTTAAAAGAGGGAGTCAAGAACGCACCATGCGTATCTTTCCTGCTGTGAGTCCCCCCATACTCTTTCTCTTTTTGGGCCAAGAGAAGAAAGAAATTGAAAAATATAAGACTCGAACCTTGACATCACGTAGAGTCCCTCCCATAGTTCGCTTTCTCTTGTGGGTTTTTTTTTTTTTTTGGTCTCCTCTTCAATTCCTTTCTCTTCACAGCAAGAATAATGTATGGTTCGGGCATTGACTTCTGTTTCTGGACTTTTAATTTCTTTTATTTTCTTTTCTTTTTTGGTTAATTTACTATGGAATTATAAACTTCCATTTCTATTTGTTTTTATCTCATGTGTGAGTATGTGTGAGACTAAAATTATTCAGTCCTTTGTTTAGGCTTATGTTATGTGGGATATTTTAATAGCCTTAGAAATGAGCAAAGAAACAAGAATATATTGGTATGTTTGGTTTGTGTTTGAGAGATGTGTTTTAGAAATAAAAAGTACGAAAAGTTGTTTGGTTTGGTTTTTTTCAAAAGATGTTTTGGGAAATTATTTTGAGAGAGAGTTTTGGAAAAAGTGATTGATTTGATGTGTGTATGAGAGAGATTTGTTTGGAAAACTTGTTTGGTTTACAAGTTTTGAGAAATTTTTTTGGGAAAATTTATTTGGTTTGATTACTTTTAAAAACTTATTTGTAGAGAAAATTTCTCAAAAATTTTTCAGAAATACAAACCAAACGTCATATTTGATTTGAACAACAATAATAAATCTGAACTTTTCTGCTGCAAGATATAAGGTAAAATAAGAGTCTTTTTAGATCTGATTCGTTCTCTACAAAGTACATAAAATTTTCTAGTACTTGATGCTTTATAAGTGTACAAACATATCAACAATGTGCAGAGATTGAAAACAGTTTAGATAATTTATTCACACTAAACTATGGTTATAACTATAAAGATAATTAATAACCGTATCAATAAGTAAATTTGGGTGCTGGATAGTCAATTAATTACTTCTAACATTCTCCATTTAATGTGTTGTTCTTGAATCCCCAACACTTATTAAAATAATCCGAACTTTCAGATGTGGCACATGGTTGGGCCTTAAGTCTTTTTAAAATAATTAATAATTCACATTGGATAGTCTACATCATTATAGATTAATTTAATTTAAGAATAATACTTTAGGAATTTCTAACATTTACTTGTTTGCCATTTGTACATTGGACTTGTAAAATTTCAGCAATAGGCTCAACAATTGGAAAAATTCTTGGGTGCAGATAGGATTACATGATGTCTTCAACCAATCACAAATATCATGACTTCCCATGTTGTTTTTCCATCACCCAACACATAAATATAACCCCCTGCTATCTCAACCAATGAGAGAAGAGAAAGATATCACGTGACACTTACCCTATTTGCACTCAAAAATTTCTCCAACTACAATTGGGTTTAAAATAGGTAACGACAAACGGTAATTATTCAGTATTTTGAGAGTATGGTCCCGTGGTGTTTCATGATAGTATGGTTAGTAAAGAAGGTGAGACATTACGTTTTTATATTGAGTAATTGAGAAATACAAAGAGATATAATGAATAATAATTAATGAGATAATATGGCCACGTAATATTCGAGATTACTTAATAATTTTTCAAAATTAATAAATTTTCAAACAAAAGAAAACAACTAAATGGGCCCAAGTGATCCTTACACTTAGATAATTGGGGTGATGTAGGGTTTGATTTTTTTAGTGATTTTTTTATGAGATGAAAAAAATATATTTTTACAATAATTTTTTAATTATATGAAAAAATATGAATAATTCATGTGTATAAATTTTTTGTTTAATGTTTTTTTTATTTTTTTTTTGGCCAACAAACTAACTTGTCAAAACAATTAAATTAAGACACTGGCTTAATATTTAAAATTCAAAATCAAATACAGTCAAAATAAAAAAAAAATAGGCCTCTCAAAACCTAATCAAAACAAAAATGCAAGGGGAGTCCTGAAAATAAAATGACCCACAATAAATTATTCACTAACAGTTGATCTGTGCAATGTACGTATTATTTTTTTTCAAAAAATATTTGACGGGACAATGTTTGTTATAAAAGAATAATTTTAATTTTAATTTTAATTTAAAATTTAAAATTAAAATATAATTTTAATTATTTATTTTGATAATATTGACGCTATCGTTCTATAAAATTGTTACTTAAATACTTTTATATATTAATTTTAGTTAAATTATTTGTATATTTTGATAATTTTAGTTTTATCATATTATAAAATTGTAATTATCATATAATAATTTTGTATGATATATATTAAATTATAAAATAATTAAATAAATATTCATTTTGATATTAAAAATAATAATTAAATTAGAAGAAGAATTAGTAACACAAAATTAAAAGCAATTCTAACTATTTAATTTTCTTTTATATTTATTTGGAAAATAAAAATATGTAGAAACAGAAATTATATAAAATTTATTAAAAAAATTAAATATAAATATGTTGTAGTTGGATTATCATATAATAATTTTATATGATATATATATTGAATTATAAAATTGTAATATAAATACTCTTAATTAAATTAAAATATCAACTATATAAAAAAATTTCAAGACGAAACTAACCAAGAAAGAATCATATAACATCTAAACTCAAAAAGAAAAAAAATGATGAAAACATCCAAACAATAGATACATATCAATGTGTGAAGTGATTAATCATTTGTAAATGATGTCAAAACATAAAAAAAATTATTGTTCATAAATTGAAAAAGTAACACAAGCAGTAAATCTAAATTTTAGAGATCCCTTGAGAGTATTACTGTTGTGTAATCTTTTCCTTATGTGAGTTGTAATTATATAAAATACTGTTGGAAATAAAGTATAATTTTAGGACTCGTGTCATTTTGATCTTTGATTTTTTAATTGTGACACATTTAATTTTGAATTTTAAATCTTATTCCAAATAAAGACAATTAAGGACCATTGCTCAATTTCAAGGGCAAAGTCGTCAATTTGATAAAATATAAACTAATTTGATAAAAATAAATGTCACAAAAAAAAATAATTTTAAAATTTTAAAAATTATTTCTACCCTCCAAAAATAAAATTATATAAAATTGATAATTTTTTTACGCATTTATTTATTTATTTATTTTACCAAATTAATTTTTATTATGTGTTTGGATGATGATCATATAATGGGTGATTGTTAAGCTTTTAATGTGTAATCGATATATTTAATATATGAAATGTTTTTAGTTTTGGATTTTTTGATTTAATCGATTGGTTTAATAATGATATCAAAGTTATCGTCATATTTGACTTTTGAAAAAATAGAAACTATATTAATGAAAATAAAAATAACCACTATCATCATCCAAACACATAATAAAATTAATTTGGTAAAAACATAAAAAAATAAAAGTGTAAAAAATTTATCAATTTTACATAATAAAAGTTAAAAAGTCACTATCCTATTTAAGTCACATCATCTTATTTAAGTTACACCACTTCTTTATCACATCATTTCAAACCCAACTCATATTTCATAAAAAGTCAAAAAGTATATTTATTTAGGACACCCCAAACAACCCCAATAAAGGTTGAGACCCCCTTGACCCCTTTAGTTTTGATTGGTCAATTTTTTTTTTTTTTTCTTGTCACCCAATTCCCAACTTGCATGTGTGTGAGGAAATTGTGGGAGTGAGTGTTTTAAAGGGTCTAAATCAATGCCCTAATAGTGAATGACTTAGGCCAAACTGGGCACATGGTTGGATCCATTGGGTCGTTTGGGATTGAGCAGTACAAACAAGGGTTTTAGCCCCAGACCCACAGACCCAAACCCAGACCCGCTGACCAAGAAAAACCCGACTTTACTTTGCTGTCATATAGACTAGTCATAGCTAGCTATATCCAAATCAATTGTATTGTATTGAATTTTGTGCAGCGCAAGCTCTCTTCCTCGAAAAAGTCGGTAAATATGGCTGCTACTGCCACAGTTACAATACATTCTAGGTCACTGACCCTACTCCATCATCATCATCATCATCATCAGCATCAGTGTAATACCTTGTCTTTCTCCTCAATTTCTTTCCCGACAACCAAACCCATCTCTCACTCACTACTGGTACTTCACTATCCTTCTCCTAATTTTCATTCCCAATTTCTAACATTTGTGTGTACCATAGCGTATTAGCATTACTCTAAATATAACTATTATATATATATATGTATATATATGTTCGCAGATTTTCAGGTCACCTGCTAAACGCCCCGTGCCTCCTTCTTACGCTGCTGTTTCTGCACAACCCCAAGGTTAATACTTCCACACTCCACAATTATTCCGTTTTTGCCTTTTTGATATTTGGAAAAGAAGTGAAAGACCACCCAATTTTGAGTTTCATTGAAACCATAAAGGTGTGTTTGGTTGGGGGATTTGAGGAGGGATTTGGAAAGTGAAAGGGAAAAGGTGTGTGAAACTATGTGAAATATATGCATGATTTATTCACATTTCACCTATCTTTTCCATTTCCCTTTCCAAATTCCTCTCTAAATCCCCCAACCAAACACAGCATTAAGCAATTATTGAGAGGGTGTTGCCATAATTGTATGAATAATGTATATGCATCAATTGGTATAGGTACTAACTGATCATGTGGCATAATTTTAGAGTTTTGTGTCTTTTGTAGTTTCTATAATGGGTGGGGTCATCGTGTTGAAGTGACTATGTCAAGAGAATATGTTGGTATACTAATTGGCATACCAATTGGTGCGTATAGCACCACTGTAATTGTATTGTAGGGTTCTGCTCTTAATTGAAGTTTTTAAGGTTTAGAAATTTGCAACAATTTTTTTGTTTTCCCTGCATTTTGATCACTACCCAACTTTTTTGTAAATTCTGTGCATGTGTAAAATATAATCATCTGGCAAGATTGTATAGAATGGAAACTGTGTGGAAAATAAGTTTTCCACCTCCATATTCTCTTCTTTTAAGTTGGGTTGGGGTCTGCTTTTTTAATTAAAGTTTTCAAGATTGAGAAACTTGAGACCAAAAAAATTTTCATTCATTTTCCTCAGCAACCAAGCATAGCCTTTACTGATTCAGTTTACAGGTACATTTGATCCTGAACTTCGGTCAGTGCTTGAACTTGCCACGGACTCCGAGTTGTATGAGCTTGAAAGAATTCTATTTGGGCCAAGGTGATAAAAATCCTTGCTTCTTTTGTTGCTTAAATGATCCTTCAGAATCTTTTTTTTTCAACTTTGTTTTGTGTATTTCTACTTCTGATGGCATCTACATTTTGAATATTATGTTCAGTTACTTCAGTCCTTTGTTGAAGTCAATAACAAAACAAACAGATGTTGATTACTTCATGATTGAAGAAGATGCTGAAGAGCGGGATGATTTCATAGCAATGCTTGAATCGCGATTCTTATTCCTTGCTGCTGATGCTCGGTCCACATTAAGGTTGTTAGTTAAATAGCTACTGATTGGTTGGTTATTGAATAATTTACTGCTTAGTTACCAGATTTAGTTTAATATTAATTTATGCCTACTTCTAAAGCTGAACATGAATTTACAATTGTTTTGGATTATAGATGTTGATCACTAAAGCTGTTAAATCTTGTTTTCATGACAAGTACAGATTAAGCATTGGCCTTCCTCTGATTGCTTGTAAAAAATCCAATTTTAAAATTTCTTATTAGTTCATTTGGTATTCTTGTAGGGGTTGGAGACCATCATATAGAAATGTCTTGCTTGGAGTGAGGGAAAAATTAAACATACCTTGTTCAAGCAAATTGTCAACAGAAGACCTAGAAGCAGAGATTTTTCTTCATCTGTTGCAGGAATATTCGAGGTAGTTATCCCCAACAACATGAAAAAAATCATTTGTGTCGTGATATTTTTAACTGTTTGACCTTGTAGAGGTAAGGGAGAGTTAGAATTGAAAATTACCCACAGGGTTTGAGCTGGATGGTTAGGGTGCTGCTGTTTCTAGAGTGTCTGACTGATAAATGAAATATTTCTTGACGGGGACAATTTTAAGAAACTTAGCCTAAGGCTGCCCACAATTGAATTTGTGTTGGGGTTTAGGGTAAGAAGAAATTTTAGCTTTAGGGTTTTAGGAACAAAGATAAATTTTAAGTTTTTGTAGAAAGATCAAGGGTAAATTAGTCCGATTGCAAAAGTTGCAGGTTGCTGAATCTTAATTATTGGAGTTTTTGGAAGGCTTAAGAAGTGATATTTATGGTTTTATTTGTTAAATTGAAGGCCAATAGGCAGGGGGAAAGTTTGGTCTTGGTTAGGACTTTGTTGGAAACGGTTTAGGGGCTCAAATCAGGGTTGTTTTTGTTAGTGGCATGCTCTAAAAGCCAATTTGGGAGATTTGGATTAAGGAAACTTTTGTTAAGTAGTCTTGTTTTTGTAATTAATAAAAGACAGGTTCATTTTTATTATGTTTACTTTCTATGTTATTATTAATTTAGTTGATAAGGCCATGAAATTAAAGCTGAAAACATATGCTCTTAAGAGTTAAGAATCTCGATGCTTTATTCTTAAAAGGATCCTAGTTGTAGGATTACTAACTAGGCATTAGTAATCCGTACAAACTAGTTCATGTTATGTTTGTTGTTGAATGGAGGCTAGTCTCAAGTCATTTATATGAGGACACTAAACCAATCTTGTTGGTGTACACTGGATGTGACCAAGTTAATGAATGTCGTATGAAGTTTTACATAACTGTCAAATAGATGTTCATCGTGAAAGTTGTGCATGTAATTCTTAGACCTGAGAACATTATGGTTGTCTTGTTTGGGAATTGCTATGCTTTAACAATACTATATGTTTTTGTTGTAACCAAGAAATATTAAATTGTATTGTTGGGTATAGTGAGGCAAGTAAATAGGGAGAATATCCTGTGTGATCTGTTAGGATATAACTTAAGGAAGACCTTGGCCAAGGACGGGTGAGAATGAATAGGAGTTTCTAGTTTCAAACATAACAAGTTGATATTAGTTAGATGACCAGGAATATGAAGTCAGCTAGGAAGCATAGATACGGATACGAGATACGGATACGACACGATACGGATACGGCGATACGACAAAACCTAAAAAAATAGGATACCGGTACGGCTATGATACGTTTGTGAAAAATATATTTTTTAAAATTATTAAAAGTGAGTTACACATAAACTAAAGAATGTTGAGAAATCATAATGTAATTTTATAATGCAAAATATTAACTTTTAAGAATTTTGTATTAATTTAAGCTAGTAGCTTGTTTACTTCTTAAATTTTTAATAGGTTTTGCAAATATTTCATTTCAAGATCAAATTTTAATATATTTATATTATAATAATAGAACAATTCACAATTTGTCCCTATGCTTTTTCCTTTGACACTAGTGAAAAATATTGTATTCAAGTTTACTTGCTTATTTATTTATTGATAATTAATTTTACCATTGTTATATTCTCTTGTTAATTCTTACTTTCTATGTAGTTATAGGGGACATGCATGAAATAATTAGGATACATCAGTTTGATAAATTCTATTATTTAACTCACTATACTCTTCTTATCGAAGAACTTAACAAAGTATTAGAAAAATATTTTTATATTTATACTTGCAATTATATTATATTATATTACTATGCAAGAAATGTTACAATTCTAATTTCTTAAAACAAGTAAACATGACTTGAAGTATCCGATACTTCAAAATTAAGTATCCGATACTCCAAAATTAATAAAAAAATAATTAAGAAGTATCCGATACTTTTAATAAGTATCCGATACGTATCCGCGAGTATCCAAGGAGCATCGGTATCCGATACGGATACGATACGGATACGTCACCCTATTTGAAGTATCCGTGCTTGATAGGAAGTCAGAGAAGCACATAGTAGAGAAATGAAGAGAAACAGAAAGAAACATAGAAGAGAAAAAGTAAGGAACTGGGATAGTGGAGCAGCCACCAAGGCCTTAAAACATCCAGGCAAAAGCCCCCTTTATGTATATCATATTTAGGTATATAATAGTAAGTAGTAACTAACCTACCCTGGTCCCCTTTTTTAATGGTAAGTCAGGTGTCACCTAACTTAAGTAGTCATGTTGGATGCTTCTGGCCCATTACATACTGGCATTTATAGTTTCTCAACCAATGTCCTAAGGTACTATTCAAATAAGAATTAAAAGCATGTTATTGTTAGTTGGGTGAACCTCGCTTATTGTCAAATTTCTTTCATTTGTACCCAGATCGGTTAATCTTCATTTTCTTCTATGCATTCATATGCAATGCCCCAACCAGATCACTTCCTACGGATTCTTATCAATACTACCTCTATTTTTATCTATTTTTTTTGCTTCTTTTTAGTTATTTCTTTTTAAGATACTTTCATGACTTAAAAATTTAATACCTTAAGTAGGGATGAATCAGGAACCTTCCCTAGCTCATGGGAAAGCTCTAAGAATCCTGACAACCATGGTAGTTTAGAACTTGGACTCAGTCCATGGAAGGTGCAAGCTATTGCTGCTTTAAGGGTTGGGGCATCAGAGCTTCGTAGAATTATCTTAAAGGTACTTTTGTTTGACCATAATAACTTGGTTGTATTTAAAGTACTCTATTTATTTGACATGACTATGTATTGTAGGGTGGTGGGATGCTTACATTGGGCAAAGTATATAACTTGGTAAGTCAATGATTTATTTGACTTTGTATTGGTTCCTTGTTTGTAATCCTAAGCCAGTTGCGCTGTTGCGGTAGTTAGCAAGGAAATTATTGGGGAGGATGTTCTTGGAGGGTGCCAAGTATCAGATAAAGAAGGAAGTTATCAGAAAGGTATGTTATTGAAATTATCTATTTACTGGAGGGATGGTCATAACTTGAAATATTATGTGGCGATAGAACCAGTATTTCTGTTTATTTCATTAACTATCTTGGAAACCATATTTGGTGGTTTTTTCAAAAATTGGTAAGAGCGTGAGAATGTTTATTATAGGCTATGTTACATGGACTCATATACGAGTATCAGGTGCGAGTGCAAGTGCAAGTGCAAGTGCGGGTGCTGGTTCGTGTCCAAGCGTCAGACATACATTATGTAGAAATGTACTTGAAATTAAATCAAGTTAGAAAAAGCCTAGATCAAGAAATCAAGTATTCCCCTTAGGTTTAGTGGAGTAGGTGAGGTGGTAGTGGTGTAGTGGGTTAGGTTTAGTGGAGTAGGTTTAAGTGGGTGAAGTAGGTGGAGAGTAGGTGGTTTTTAACATCTATTTACTGGAGGGATGGTCATAACTTGAAATATTATGTGGCGATAGAACCAGTATTTCTGTTTATTTCATTAACTATCTTGGAAACCATATTTGGTGGTTTTTTCAAAAATTGGTAAGAGCGTGAGAATGTTTATTATAGGCTATGTTACATGGACTCATATACGAGTATCAGGTGCGAGTGCAAGTGCAAGTGCAAGTGCGGGTGCTGGTTCGTGTCCAAGCGTCAGACATACATTATGTAGAAATGTACTTGAAATTAAATCAAGTTAGAAAAAGCCTAGATCAAGAAATCAAGTATTCCCCTTTCCTTCTTCTCCCTTCTCTTCTCTCTTTTCCAACAAAATTCAGATCTCTCTCTGTCTTGTATGCCTATCCTCCAAGTAGGAGGTGGCACACTCCTAAGCGAGATGTGTGCTTGTCTCTAACCAATTAATCATATAATTAGTTTAGTCAATCAATATCAACACTAATTAAGCTAGGTTTAGTCTTCTTCTTTTTTTTTTTTTGATTGGCACTGGACTATCTGGATCAAGGCTTGACTAATCCCCATGGTGCATAGGCCCTTGGCAAGGAGTTTCCTGCAAATGCACCACAGTTAATTCCAGGTTTTCCCTAGTCCGATGGCCCCAAGGAATTGTTAGGTTTTTCTACTTGAATCTTAGAGGGAGCACACCTCCAAGACCCAACGCCTTGCCACCAAGCCAACCCCTTGGGGTTTAAGTTAAGTTTAATCTTTAATCTCAATTAGCCTAATTAATTATGATTAGGATTAATTAATTTAGATTAAGCATACTAATCACACTTACAACTAATCTCGGTTAAGTTTTTCACACGATACATAAAAATGTCAAGCACATTAGACCAAAACAATTAAGCACCTTAATTGAGGAAATGAAACAACTTTTAGCATAAACCAAACCAAACCAAATCAAGCCTTAAGTCCCATCAAATGGGGTCGGCTATATGAATCCTTCTTCTCCACGCGGCCCTATCAAAGGCCATTTCGTTAGCATATCATATTCAAAATGATAGTTTTTCTTTCATGGCTCTAAGTTTTTTCGCACTTCATATCAAAGAGGCATATAGACAATTCATAGTTAAGAGGCATTTCATAAGAAAGAAAATAAGTGCATCCTATTCAAGAAACAACATTTCTAAATCATGTTAAATGGTTATCAACATATTTTCAAACACTTCATATAACTATGGCCTCGTTTGGGAAGTGGCTATTTTAGTAGGCTATTTTAGTTTTTGACTATTTTAGTAGGCTAAAATTTTTGTGTTTGGGAAGATGATTGGATTTTTTTGTGGTTGGATGTGATGTTTGTGAGAGAAAAAGTGAAATGATTATGGGTTTAATGTGATATTTTGTCTTATTAGCTATTTTAGCCTATTTTGTTTTTTTGTGATTTTTAGCCTAAACTAGGCTGTTTTTTTTCTTCCCAAACACCCCCTATATAGCAATTTGTCTCTAAGCATTCAACATTAAAATAAATGGTATGCATGTTATGTAAATGGAAGCACCTAGGATGTTACACTTCATATGTGCATTATGTAATAATCAATTCTCCAAACTGTTTAAGCACTAAGAGGTAATGCAGTTTTTAGAAAGTGGTAATATAGTTCCAACAAATGACTGATACATTTAGGAATGTTGACAATGTTTCTTTTTTCTCATGGTTACCATTTAGTTTAATAGATTACAATTTTCATGAAAACCATGCTTGATTTTCATTCTAAAATCTTCCCAAACATTTTTCTCCTCTTACTAGTGGGGATGTTAGAAGGCTACTTGGCTATAACGTTTAACATGTCTCTTGTAATGTTTTGGTTTAAAGGGTGGTCAATTAGCAGCCGTTAACCTAGAGTCCAGATTGGCATTGCTGGTGGCAAAACAGGTAATTCTATTTCTATGAATATTGATTTTGTTTTCATTTATTGTTCTTCTAAAGTTTTGGAGATATATAACTGCAACTGTGGGAAGTACATCTGGAATGAGTCACTCATGGCAGTGGATCCTTGACAAGCTTTCAAATTGGAAAATTCAGTATTATCAATTATAGGAAAACTAATCATATAAATTAATTACAATATAACAGTTCGTTATGGATTCACATTTGTTGTCTTTTATTTTTCAAAAGAGTTCCTTAAAATCCCCCCTCTATGTTACATGGACTTGGGGGTTTTGTGCATAGTTTTATCGTGAACTTGAATTAGTGAATATGTTTTCTAGGTGCATATCCAAGTGTCCAACTTCACATGTTCACATGTCAAACATATATCTCATTTCCTTACCCAAGTGTTAAGTGTCCGATATGAGAATTCACCCATTTAAATATGCCATGTAACATAGCCCCCTCCAAATCACCATAAGGGGGAAAAAATTAATAATAATAATAATAAAAGTTATATAATTAAGCATGTAAGATTAATTTTAGGGTAATTGTTTAATTATAAAATTTGAACGAGTTTTTACACAATATTTCCTATTAGAAAAATTGTTTCGATGTTGTAAAATTTTCAAATTTGAATCAAAGTAAAAGGATCAGAAGACTATGTCAGCAGCTTTGATTGGAAAGTACAAGCCTATGAAATATGTGCATGAATTTCAAATATAAAATTCGAAAGACGCCTAAATATTATTGGTTGTCTGATTGCAGCTTCTTTGTCACGATTTCTAAGACCATTTCTTTTTGTATAGGGTGTTGCAGGTGCTGCGGCACGATATCTGGGGCTCAGGAGCATGATGGTTTTACTTGGTCCAATGTATTGTCTGTTATGCACTGCAACTTATTGGGACATTGCATGTGTAACTTGAAGTTACTTCTTATCTTGTTTTTGTGTGTCAGTTGCTTCCAGTGTGTTTATGACACCCCAAAATATATGTACTTAAATCTTTGAAGAAAAAAAAAATGTAATTATAACATTTTCTGGGCCATAGTAGAATATAGGGAACTTGTGCATAGTTTTCAAGAGACCTCATGGGAAGCGTGGTGCCATGTGGTACCACGTGGTGTGCTGCATAGTGCAACATAGCAGCATAGTAATGGTCTTCTCATGAGTTGCATGGTAATGAAATCACAAGAATAACAAAAGAGGGGTATATGATAGAGTGAGCCGAAGTCCGAAGTGAGAGTAAAGGATCAAGTTTGAGGTGAGTTGTATTATGTGCTTATAGTTGTTAATCACTTTCAGGTGACGTGTCAGGACCATTGCGTGGGGTAGGCACCAGGCACTTTATAGTTATAGTCCAGTTCTGGCAATGTAATTAAATAGAAGCTCCAATGTATATATTTTAATTAAATTAAATTTTGGGTACCCTTTTTATTTTACTTCGCTGCACTATTAATTTGTTATGACTTCAATTATTGTCTTGTTGCGATACCGAACCTCCGGGTACCGGGTTTCGGTCTTAACAATGTTTTTCTTTCTACATGTTAAAAGTAGGAAGATTCTTGTTAAGGAACAATGGTTTAGAACGATGAAATTCCATGAACCAAACTTTCTACTGATATATCTCTTCTAAATTTGTTGTTAATATTGGTGGTGAACCCAAACAATATGTGGTGATCTTGAAACCCTAACTGCTAACAGCCAAGGTTTATGAGGAATCAAAAGCTCATATTTATGGTGTTTTGGGTATGGCTTATAAGTGGCTTATTGTTTTGGGTGTGGCTTATAAGTTGGCTTTTTTGCTTATTACAAAAAGGCGTGTAGAAAAGCAGAGAAGTGATATGACCCAAATAAGTCAATGATGTGACCCAAATAAGCCAATAAGCAGCTTATTTATAGTGTTGCCAAATAATATGATTTAGAGATTACCTACCTTAAAGAGGGAGGATAGGCAAAGTTAATATTACCCAGCAATGCTGACCGGTTATTCTGCTTGAATGGCTGATCAAATTGAACAAAGCAGTTGGAAAATCTTTTTGCAGGACTTGGGTGACACAAAGCGATAAGATGTACCTGCAGTCTGCTTGGATACTTTTAGTATTGGGTTCAGTGTAAAAAATTGTAAACACTGATTAAGCTCATATCTAAATGACTTTGCTGAATGAATCACTTTGATTAAAATAAGTTGGAACAGTATCTTTTGCTCAGCCAGTAAGTGTATAGCTTGTGTCTTTTTTTGTTTTTCTTTTAACTTTTCTGTTTCTGGTTATGTGATCTATGATCTATTTGATTCATTGGTATCTTATACAGGCTCTGGGGGACATTTCTGGCTGATGTTGTCATCCAAATGCTTGGAACTGATTATGCTAGAATCCTACGAGCAATTTACGCATTTGCGCAGGTAATATATCATCCTGCGACCCTTAGCATAAATAAAAAAATAAAAAAGAAGTATAAATGGTATATGTATCAATCTTCAGCCCTGCTTTTTATCATGCTCCCTGATGTTTGGTCCTGGTGAAAGAACAAGGCTTACCTGGATCTTATAATTGATGTGAATGATTAGCATAAAGCAATTGAAAGTAAAAGAGAGAGAAAGGAGATGTGACTGTTGTCCTTAATTCACTCTATTTAGTCTATGGTATGGTGTAGGGATTTGACACCAGCAGGCCTAAGCCTAGCAACCCAAGTTCTGCTGGCCAATTTTAGATTTTGGCCAGTATAATTTCAAATTTGGTCTGGGCTTGGGCTAAAATTTCCCAATCCAAACTAGATTCAGTCTTGGCTTGGGATGTTGTCATATAAATAAATTGGTTTAGGACAACTCAATGCTCAATCGAAATTAAATTTTTGTGTTGATTTCGGACTGTCCAAGCTCTAACCTGAGCTCTTCGAATTAAGTTCAGGCTTGGGAAAACCAATTCAGGTTAGAGGTTGGGCTTCTTCTAAACTTGGGCAAATCCCACTACATTTTGGGCTGAGCTTGGATAGACTTAGAACCCACCCAAGTTGTAGCTCTACTATGGTGTGATCTTGGTTATATATCCTGATACATTGTAATCTCTTAAGCCATGAACATCTAGTTACCTAGCTTTTGGTAAATCAACCTATCTAATTTTTGCAGAGCAGATATAAGGATAAATCTTTTCAGTTTTTGATACATTAATTTTTTGTCTTCAGATCCGTATCACCCGTACATATAGGTTACCGTCTGACATCAACTAAGGAGATTAGTCTTTTGAGCATTGTAGTCAACACTCTTGAGCTTCATTTTGGTTCTTCAGCAGCAATGGGTTTTGAGGTACTTCTCCAATTCTTCAGTTCTCCAATTCTTTAAATTAATTGTGAATAGAGTAGTTTAATGGTTGTCAATAATCCTTTGGTCACGGTTGTGTATATATCCATTTAGATTTAACTAACAGACTCCATGTATTAGTTTGAATACATCATGGTTAATGTAAAAGAAATCAAATAAACTGCTAATATTTTTTGCTGCAAATAATATCAGAGCTTTCTTGGTGGAAAAATGTATGAATGATACTCTCATAAGTTTGTGGAAGAGAAACAAAATGTGCAGGAATATTGTTCTCAATACACAGGAGCTGCTATTAGACATCACTTGGAACCAATTGCCTTTGGTCTCATAGAAACCAAAGAAATTGAACAAAATCAACTTGCCCGGAGCACCTAGTTCTCTTTATTATACTACAATCTATTAATTAGAGACCAGTTGAAAGAATGTCCATCATCTCATTCACCCGTTATTGTTTCCGTGCTCACCACAAATACCGAGCCCGCATCCATATTGTTGATTGAAAAACCATAAACACCATCAATCGTTAGTGCAGCTTTCACTGATACCATTTGTATTGCTGCTACTTCCTCAGCCAATTCCGTTACCGGGGCTTTGATTTCTCAGTGGTGTCCTAACTCCAGTGCCAAAGCATGACTTCAGCTGCCACTGGCTTGCTAAAATCTTCAAGCAGTACTGTTGTTAGGAGGTTTCAAGGGGAAGCCCAGGGCTTGTACCTTACCCTGCTTATTCTACACTCAAATCTATCTTAATTGCAATGTCTACCTGTGCTTACTGATGACAATACAAGTGTTCATACACACACTAATGCAGAATTCTGGTTGACAACTAAGCTTTGGTTGGTTGGTCCAACCCTTGTAATCTGACCTATCTCGTCCAAGTTAAAATTACTCTCTGATGCTTCACGTATTGTTTTCTATGTTGTACTTGCAGACTAAGCCAACCGGATAATTCTCAATCTCTCTCTTCTGGATCAAGCTATCTGTAGATTCACTTGAATTGTCTGTTTTTCTTTTTCTTTTTTTCTTTTTCTTTTTTTCTTTGAAGGTCTAGAATTGTATATTCTTTTATTGCATCTTTCATACCCTGCTTGAGTGGAAAGTAATGCTGTGAACTACTCCATGTATGTGTGGTTAATTTTTTTTTTTCCCTTAAAGAAAAGCCAAAAATCTTGATTTCTTCTTCTTTTCATTGATCAGTTTGACATCTTAGAAACATGTGTCCCGTTTGTTTGGCCCTAAAAAAAGTAAGGGCAAAAAGCTAAGAAAAGTTTCTTTTATTTTATTTTATTTTATTTATTGCAAGTTAATATCTCATCTCTTCTTAAAGCTCAAAGTAGTAGTAATTTTGTGAATGCTCTCTGTGCATAAAATTGATAACTACTGTGTAGGAATGGGCTCTCTGTGCATAAAATTGATAACTACTGTGTAGGAATGGCGGCGCGGCGGGGCGGGGCGGGGCGAGGCCGGGGATCACCCTCCTCGTCCCCGATCCCCAACGGTGATAATTTCTCCATCCCCGGTCCCAATCCCTAACGGGAAACCTATCACCATTCCCATCCCCTCCCCCAACAGGGATCGGGTTTCCCCAACCCCGAAAACTCCCCGGTCCAAAAAAAAAAATAAAAATAGCAGATCACAAAATCATCAAATAGATCAACTCATCAACAACAGATCAACAACAAAATCATCAACATCATCATACACAGTAGATTAAAAAAGAGAAAAATCAGAGAGATGGTGTCGGTGGCGAGGAGGGAGATCGGTGAGTTCGGCGAGTTCGGTGAGATGGGAGGAGGGAGAGATCGTCGAATGAGAGGACCTGGCGGATCTGAGTTCTGTTTGAATATCTGAGTTTGCAGATATGAGAGATCGTCGAATGAGAGATCGACGTATGAGAGATATGTGAGTTTACAGATTTGAGTTCAACGGTGATGGAAGGCGGGAGATGAGGGCAACGAAGGAGGAGGGAGAGGAGGACAGCTGAGAAAGGGAGATCGGCGCCGACGGTGAAAGAGAGGAGGACAGCGACGGAGGTGGAAGGCTTTTAGAGAGAGAGAGAGAGATGATAGGCCGTGTGAGGCTATTGGGTTTGTTTTTTAGGTTTGGTTTATACATGTAACATGTATATATAAAGGGGTAGGACAGTAATATCACTTTGGGGGAGATACAGGGACGGAGACGGGCCGGGTCCGGGGCTGTGAATGCTATTCCCGTCCCCGGCCCGAAATACTTTGGGGATTTAATTTCAAATACCATCTCCGTCCCCGCAGGGATATTTTTTGAGGAAAAACCATTCTCATCGGGGTCGGGGGGTCGGGTCCCCGTCGGGTCGGGTTCAAATTGCCATCCCTACTACTGTGCTTTCTCTGCACCTCTCCGCCCTCCTCCGATGAATGAGGGTTCAACTATGATTACCAAGTTAGTGATATTTTAAGTATTATATTATTTTATTAGTTGTTTTTTTTTTTTTTTTTTTTTTTTTTGGGAGATCGTGAGTATCTCCAACAGTAATAGGCATTTTACTTATCTAAACATTACTATAAAGTATGCATTTTATTTTGCCTATCAACTGTTTCATGTTTTTTACTCCAACCATGCTCTTTATTTTTGCTATTCATCTAAATATTATTAACTTTGTAGAATGTCACATTAGTAACAAAGATAGAAGAAAATGATTCTAATGATTAAATACATTTTGTCTAGTTTTGAAGGCTAGTTACATGTAGCTAGTGAATGTGAGTCGAGTTAAAATGTCTAATCATATATTTAGTGCATTGAAGTTGAAAAAAATAAGTCATATTAGGCATTTTGACTAACAAGCATTATATGTCTAGTAAGTTGGAGATGCTCTTAGCAAGACACCATATAAATTGTATTTAAAATATTAAAAAAAAAACAAACAAACAAACAAAAAAATTTCACTAGAATAATGCATCAAAATAATAAGTTATTTTCAGGAACTTTTTGATTTGAAATGAATAGATATAAATTTGACATTATTATATATAAAAAAAATTTGTAGCCTTTTTTTTTAGTATATCATTACTTTTTCCAACTATTAAATGTAAATAAGAAATAAATCTAGTCATTAATTAAAAATGAGAGATTTTTATCTTGATTTTTAGTTATTATTGAAATTAAACTTACATACCACACAATATAACATTACTTACAGCATAAAATGACCATCTACTTAACACTAGCTCTAATATTACTTACTATTAGAACTCACCCTACTAACAAATGTCCATCAAACACAAGAAAAAGATACAACAAACAAACCAAAAAGAAGAGAAAATGGGTGAAAAATTCACTCTACCAATTATCTAAGGCATTAGGTTTAAGAGATATTTTTTGTTGATGAGAGGTCTATATTTTGTAAAATAGTTTGTCGAGAAATCCTAAAAATATTTTTTTTTCAATTTTACCCCTTGACTTTTATTTTATTTTGTTTTATCTATTTGACTTTTCATTAACTATATGTTTAAATTTATATCTATATGTTCAAATTATTTTCTATCTGCTCAAATTTTTTTGACTATATGTTCAAATTTATATTTATCTGTTGAATTTTTTTCCCTATCTGTTCACTTTTTTTTCCCTATGTATTGAAAATGTGGATTTTGCTCTTTATCTGTTTAAAATCTGTGGATTTCTTTCTCTATCTGTTTAAAACCTGTCTTGATTTTCCTTATCTGTTGAAATCTATATGTTCAATTTTTTCGCTGAATTCTCTATCAAAATTCTATCTGTTTATTTTTAATTTTTTTTTTCTATCTGTTGAAATAACAAGTCAAACCAAATTCTATCTGCTGAAATGGAGCCAAAACAACACCTATCTGTTACAAATCCCAAGCCAAACCAAACCCTATTTGTTCAAATCTTTTCTTCTCTCTCTTTCTCCCTATTTGTTGCAATATATTTCATCATCATCATTCTCAACAACAACAACAACAACAACAATAACAAATGAATTCAAAAGGTCCATTCTAAAGACCTAGTTGCTCAATCTGATCACTAATAAAAACCTAACAGAAGCAAAAATCAACAATCAACAACAAAATATTGACATACAAATCAAGATAGAGAGAAAGAAAGAGAGCAAGAGTGGATGAGGGAGGGAGAGAGTGACAATGTGGAAGTCGGATCTGGGCTTGAATCTTCAAAGGTGGTGATGGAGGCGGCGGATCAAAGTCGGATCTTGGCTAGGGCTTCAAATCTAGACCAAGATACTAAGATTCTGTGTGAAGATTATAGTTTTTGTATAAAATAATCAATTTGCATAAATTAATTTAAACTATAATAAGGTAACTGTGCTCTAAACAAAGTCTGACGGCTAACCCTAGACGACGTGGCTACAAAAGCTAGAGAATGAAAGTGCAAATGGATAGAGAGAGAGAGAAAGAGAGAACTTGAAGCTTGCCTTTGATGATAGCAGAGGGATTGGAGAAGAGATCGTTTAGGGACTCTATAAGTTCGTCTCCATCCTCCACCTCATCTGGATCTCGGCAGCTGAAGTCACCGCCACGAGGGGTTTGCTGCCGTTGGTATGGCCATCTCGGGCTATAATTCCACCATTATTCTCTGGCTAGGGTTTTGAGAAATGATTTGAGAGAGAAGTGGAGAAGAAAGATAGGAGAACAAAAGAGAGAGATCGCGGAGGAGGGTAAGGGACGTTGGTGGTGATCATATCGACGATGGAGACAGAGTTGATTGGTGTCTTCATTGCCAGTGGATTGATGAAGAAGTGTAGAGAAAGAGAGGGATAGAGGGTTTTCCTGATCGAAGATGAAGAGAGAAAGGAGGAGAGAGAGGAGTTTGACAGAAAACACTGTGTATACCCCTTATATATATATGGTCATTTTAGTCATTTTGCTTAAACTTGTCCTTTTGGACAAAATATTTCAGCGTTTGGACCTTTGGCCAAACGAAATTAATATTTGGATTTATGGACCGAGTGCCCAAAAACAATTAATATAAGATATTATTTACAAAATTTAATACATTTTTATTAAAATCAATTCATCTATATTTGAGATACTCTATTAACATTGTACAAATATAACACTGACTAAAGTCGGATCCCTAACCTCCCTAGTATGCGAAATGTAGTGGGAGTAGAAGTCCTTGCGTCGCAACCTTACAGTTACTGGTTCATTTGAGTTATTGACAAAGTTTGTCAGTTGTCAAGGTTCAAACACAAGAGATTTCCCTATTAGATGGACAAGTTGACATGTCAGATGTTCATAATCCAAAGGAGCAGCTTGATGCACCCCACTTTAGTATCTTTGAATCATTATCACAGCCTATAACAGATATTCCCATGTCTGAACAACACTTCTTAGTTGTGGGTGTTCATGACGAGCCACCACAAGAACAGGTCTCTAAACGAGTTTTCTAGTTTCGTGTGGGGAGTTCCCAGTGTATCCAAGCCCCAAGAAATTGTTATGTGGGGTCAAATGATATGGCAACTATTATGGAACCCCATCAACCCTATGATCAAGGTCAAGGCAAGCGCGAGAAAAAGCCTCAGATTGAAGATAGTATCAGTAACCCAAGTCTTTTTCAACCATCTTGTCGCAGAGCCCTTTGACCTAGTCATTTCTATCTTGTGTTTATTTTTTTTCTATCTTTTGGAATGTGTTTGTTTTGATTTCTTTACAGGATCTTTCTGCTGTGACTGGTGGTTATGTAGGTTGTTGCTTTATATTTTTGTTTCCCTTCTTGTTTGCTGATGGTTCTTTTGATATGTTGTATTGAACTTGCTATATTTCTCTGTTCTATCAATATATTTGCTTTATGATTTCCTCAAAAAAATACAAATGGCATTCTAATATGATTTTAATTGATTTTATTAATTTTCAAGAAATAATTTAGTGTCATTTTATAAATAATGTGAAGCATTATTATAAAATGGTTATTTACATGAAGTATTCTAAATTATTAAAAAATATCATTTTGACCCTCTCAACTATAAAAGTGTATAAACAGACTTCCTAAATAATTAATAAGTATCACTTTGCCCCTTATAAAAACATATAAATGGACCTCATAAACTATTGATGTTGTGTGTGTCAATTTTCGACCACACTGCCAACTTAGTATTCAACTGGAGAACACCGGCAGAATAGGTTAAGCCCGAACGACCTGCAACAGAAAGAAGAGTTTCTGACGGTGGCTCGTCCACCCGGGGGTACTCCGACGATCAAGTCAGTACTCAATATCTCTTAAAGATAACCAATAGTTCTTAACTCACTAGCCAGATTATCAAAAGCATAAATGACATACCTTAGACCCATGAGGGTGCCTCTCTTTTATAGCCAACATAATCCTAGTCCCAATAGAAGCCTAGCTCCAACGGACTTAGAATTACTGCTAATCTTGGACTCCTAGTTGAATTAGGATAAACTCTCTAAGAGTCTTATCTTAATCCAAACTGAAGTTTTCTCCCATTCTAGGACTCTTGTCCCTTATCCGCTTATCTCGGATTCTAGTATTCTCACAGATAACCTCGGCTTAGCCGAGATCATCTCGGCATCATGACCAGGACACGTGACACCTCAGCTAACACTTCGGTGTCACCTCGGTCACGTGTTGTCATTCAAAAATTATGTCCCCACAACTGCCCCCTGGGTTCTATTACCTCGGCATCCTGAGGTGATGGAACCTATATCATTCCTTCCTTTAATCATGACCCTCGTTTATCTTCAACTTGTAAATTTTTCTCAAGTTTCTACAAGTGTTAAACATCATCTCGGTTTAATTTCAACTTGTAAATTGTCCACAAATTTCAACAAGTGTTAAACAATGATCTCGGTTTAACTTCAACTTGTAAATTGTCCACAAATTTCAACAAGTGTTAAACAATACTCTCGGTTTAACTTTAACTTGTAAATTGTCTACAAATTTCAACAAGTGTTAAATAATGATTTCGGTTTAACTTCAACTTGTAAATTGTCCACAAATTTTAACAAGTGTTAAACAATGCTCTCAGTTTAACTTCAACTTGTAAATTGTCCACAAATTTCAACAAGTGTTAAACAATGATCTCGGTTTAATTTCAACTTGTGAATTGTCCACAAATTTTAACAAGTGTTAAACAATGATCTCGGTTTAACTTCAACTTGTAAACTTTTCTCAAGTTTCAACAAGTGTTAAACATCATCTTGGCAAGCTCTTCTCTTCTCAGACTTAATCATCTTAGGCCGAGATCTTGTCTTCTGGGATCTAGGATCCGAGATCTGGAATCTGGGATCAGCTTACTTGGACTGAGCTCTTGTCTTCTCATATCCAGTGTTATCTCGGCTTGACAAGTGAGGTCACCCCGGCATCTTGTCGTTTTTTCTGGAGATAATCCCTCAGATCCTCCTTGGTTCGTCCAGGAGCTCGGCTATCTCCGGATTTCAGCCTCTTTGGTGCACTATTTCCTGTGTCATTGCGAGTCCTTTTGGACCTCCCTCCATTGGTCGTGTTGAAACAGAGGTCCTTCCCCTGAACATGCCGATATTCTTTGGAGTCAGCTTCCTTGGTGCGATGTGTTCTCTATGAATCTCCCATTCTTGATTCTCCTCGTCCGACCTCCCTTGAAGGCCGATAAGAATGTTCCTTGGTCCTATCGTGCTGAGGAGTCGTAGGAGTTGTCTTCTGCCCCCCTGCCTGGGCATCTTTCTTGGCTGCTGGAATCGGCTTATCTTGTGACGGGAACAGTGGCTGCATGATGTTGTTCTGTATCATGAAATTGACAACCGTTTGCAGGTCCGCCAATTTGTTTGCCATTTCTTTCATCTCATCGTCCCTTCGTAAGCATCTTTCTTTTCATTCCTGGAGGTCGTCCTCGTTATAATACTTGCTTCGGTCTAATTTCTTCGGCGCGTCGCCCTCCTGGCCGACGTCCTCTTCTCCGTTATTCTTATCACGAGTTTCTTCGTTGTAGTTGTCTTCTTCGACGCCAAGGTTAATATGTTTTCCACTCTCAGTAGGGGTGTCGTCCCCAACCTTCTCTTTCGGTTTGTTGTTGGCCATCTATTCTCCTTTCGTTCCCACAGACGGCGCCAAATTGTGTGTGTCAATTTTCGACCACACTACCAACTTAGTACTCAACTGGAGAACACCGGCAGAATAGGTTAAGCCCGAACGACCTGCAACAGAAAGAAGAGTTTCCGGCGATGGCTCGTCCACCCGGGGGTACTCCGACGATCAAGTCAGTACTCAATATCTCTCAAAGATAACCAATAGTGCTTAACGCACTAGACAGATTATCAAAAACATAAAAGACATACCTTAGACTCATGAGGGTGCCTCTCTTTTATAGCCAACATAATCCTAGTCCCAATAGAAACCTAGCTCCAATGGACTTAGGATTACTGCTAATCTTGGACTCCCAGTTGAATTAGGATAAACTCTCTAAGAGTCTTATCTTAATCCAAACTGAAGTCTTCTCCCATTCTAGGACTCTTGTCCCTTATCCGCTTATCTCGGATTCCGGTATTCTCGCAGATAACCTTGGCTTAGCCGAGATCATCTCGGCATCATGACCAGGACACGTGACACCTCAGCTAACACTTCGGTGTCACCTCGGCCACGTGTTGTCATTAAAAAATTATGTCCCCACAGATGTGTTTCACTTTAACCCCTTCCATTAGGAGGCCCAATTGGTACGTTTTTATAGTTTAAGGGATCTATTTGTATATTTTTATAGTTTAGGGGATCAAAGTGATACTTCCTAATAGTTCAAGGATCTATCTGTACGCTTTTATATTTTAGGAGTCAAAGTGATATTTATTAATAATTTAGGTGATTTTCGTGTAAACAATCCTATTATAAAATGGAGAAATTATCAATCAATGATTTTTTTAAAAAAATTATTACTGATTCATTATAAAATTTATATTTTTAATTACCAATATTTATAAAGTTTACAATTTATTTATAATTATTTTTCAAAATTACTTCTGAACTGAAATTTTACCTTATAAATTGTCCTTGGCTAGTCTGTATGTTGAAAGAGACGAGTCTATCATTAACTCATTACAACTGTGGCACTGAAAAACATGGCATCCTCTTTCATTAATCAAACATTTATACATCTCTAGTGCTATATACATCAATTAATATACATATTAATATACTAACTAGTATTATATTATTATTATTGATCCTACCTATTATACAAATTACAAATACCTAAAATTTATAAAATTATGTCACATCATTTCTGTTAATATACTAATTAATACATTAATTGATATATATAACAGTATTCTTTGTACAAAGAACAGACCACCGGGGTAAAAAAGGACCCTCTCTTCTTCTTTTTTTCCTTGTTCTAAAATTTCGTCATAATTTCAGCTCAGTTCCATTCTTTAATGGGCCACATAAGTTGTTATATGTGAGCTTATACCATTCAATGGAGTTTTTGAGTTTTTTTCTATTATGTTTTTAAAAAATTTGAGATCATATAAATATTTAATTTGTTTTGTTGTTGTTGAGCAATCGCACAAATAACCCAACATACATGATAATCCCCTTTAAAAATCATATAAATAATATTTTATGTAACAAATATGTTATAGTGGAACATCTCAAATAAAAAAAGGCAAAATTTTGTGTAAGTAATGTGTTGAAATTATGACATAATTTTATTATATCATAACTCTGATTGTAACTTGAAATTATGAATTGATGTAATTGACATCATAATAAATAGAGTAATTTTATATAATTAATAGATTTTATAAATTTTACTTACTAATTTCGCACTAATCATATTATTAAAGTGGGTCATATTTCAATTTTTAAAGGTTCATTATTAAGCCTCCGTTTGGGAAGTGGGTTGGCTTTTTGGCTTTTTGGCTTTTTTGGCTATTTTAGCCTGGGCTAAAAAGCTTGGTTTGGGAAGGGCTTTTTGGCTTTTTGGCTTTTTTGACTTTTTTTGTGAGAGAAGAATGTAATGATTATGGGTTGGATGTGATGTTTTGTTTGTTATGGCTAAGCCTGAAAACCATCTTGCCAAACAGAGGCTGACATTTCAGTTAGTAGGAAAAATTTATAAGATTTGTTGGTTTAATAATGTTATATTCATCACATTTACCATATTATGTTTATAATTATACTTACTTGTCAATACAATATTAGTGCAATGAGTATATCTTCAATTCAATTAAATTAGATGTTAAAAAATAGATACTGAAGGAGCTTAATGATGGGGTCAATAGTAATACAAAAATCACATCATAATAGTCACTATTTACCCATTGAATATGACGAAAAAACAACCATACGAAAACAAAAACTGAATACAATACAGCACACCAATAGACAAAACCTGATAGAACTAATAATCACAACACCCATTAGGCCATAAACTCTAATAATCTTAGACACACAGTCATCAAAATAAATTTTAAAAAATAATAATTTAAAATGGTCTAGGGTAGGGATGGTGGGCAAATTGTGGGTGGTAAGTTGGATTCTCATGCACAACTTGTCTTCGTGTTATGGCTGAGGAAGAGGAGGACATGTTAGTGTAACTCGTCAACACCAATGACAGTGACTTCTCAATCTCATGATCTGCTGGTGGTGGTGCTCTTACCTGCTGTTGCTGCATACAAGCATGGCATGTGATCATTTGATGGAGATCAATGGTGGTAGAATTGATGATTTGCTCTTTAAGAGCCCAACAAGCCTTGTCTACTTCAGCTACTGCTTGTTGCCTTATTCTCTTTGCGTTGGCGAATTCTCGCTCCGCTGCCTCAATCTGCTGCTTTGCCTGCCTCCGTGCCTCCTCCGCGTACGCCTTGTCTGCCATGACAATGGCAATGTCAGATTCGGAAGAAGATCCTATCGAGAGTTGCAATTTGGTGGAAGAATGACTACTTTCATCTAATTTTGCTTTTGGAAATGATGATGTTGTGGTGGTGGTGATGGTGGCGGTGGTGGTGGTCAACAGCTGAAGCTCTAAATTGTTATCAATGGACGAGCTGGGACTTGAAGCTGGTGGTTGTGCAGGCGACTGTGATTCCGATTGGAGACTCTGCCTCCCCATATTGCAAGTGTCTTGGTGTTCAATGAAACTCTCCACCCTACACCATATTTAAGCATACATTAATCACAACTATAGAATTTAATTACAAAAACAGACAAAGCTCTCTCTCTCACACACACACATAAGCGAGTGGGAAGGGAACCCCCCTATGAGAGTGTTGGTGATCAAATTATGTGCCCTACGAAATTTTTTGCTAAAAGGAAAAATAATAGTTCAGTGCAAATTTAACCAAAAAAATTCAGATCGATGATAAAATTTATAAATTTTAATAATCAAAGTGTTAAATTTTTTTTATCATTCTGTGATTATTTTGGAAAGATAACACGTGTAGTTTTTCCTTTTTTAATTAATAAAGAAAAAAAAAAAGAAAAAAAAGCAACCAATTAACAAAAAGTTAGCTTTTGCATTCGAAGAAGAAAAACAAGTGCAATGATTCTAGATGCACTAAAAAAAAGTAGAGCAAGGAGGGACACATTCAAAAGGCCCTTTAGCATGATGTGAGCTTTTTGGTCAATCAAGTTGGGTGCTAGAAACGAGGCAAATCTATCAAGTCATTCACTTGCTGGATTAAAGCAACCAAACCAACCAATGACCTTCTTAATTAGCACATAAATAACTCAAAATTAATAAATTAAAAATTATGTGACTAGAGAATTATCATTTTAAAATAAAATAACATTAAAAATGACATTTAATTATCAAAATGCTACCTTAAAACTATATCATTTTTTTATTTTTATTTTTTTAAATTGTACAAGAAAAATAGTGTCATCTAAGGAAAAATGATGGATTTCTTTATATTTGTGAATGTGATATAGAGAAAGAAGGATGGTTTAAAACAATAATAAAATTATGGAAGGCAAGGCAAGGCAGATCAAAGAATTCAATTAAAAATAAAATTGTAAGAAACAAATCCTAAAAGTGTAATAATAATAATAATAATAAGACAAAAATTTAAGTAGGAGTAGAGATAATTGGATCATAATAGGAAAGTTGTGTCTATGATAAAATTCTGTACACATAATAATGAAGTGAATGAATCAAAAACCTTGAGAAAACGCGGCCACAGTCGCAAGAATGGCCTCTGGTGCCACAAGTTTTGAGATGAGCTTTGAAATCGGATTGAACCGCGTAGCCCTTGGAACATTTCTCACAGATCCATTGCCTCTGATTGCTGTGTTTTCTTCTGAAATGCTTCTTGATTCCAACTAGATCTCCAAGGGCATGAGAAGGGTGATGGTGCAAGCAACTTGGCTCCGGGCACACAAACACCCTCTTCCGCCTCACAGCCGATGCCGTCTCCTCCCTCTTCACCAGCTTCCACGGCACCTTGTGCCTCCGCCGATGCATCTGTAAGTTCTGCTCTCTCTGAAAACCTTGGTTGCAGATCTCACAAATGTACCGATCCGATTCAACTAAGGTTTTTGGAGATAGAGAAACCACTTCTGCATCTGGATCTATACAACAATATTATTGTGTATGTCATTATTATCATGTCATGAGATTAGAAACAAAAAAAAAAAAAAAAAAACTGTACCTGGAGTACCGGCAGGCCTTCGTTTTCTTTTGATACTTGTTCCATTTTCAAAGAAAGAGTTGCTTAACATAGTAGAAAGAATATAAGATGATAATTCTTGTTTTTAATTTTGGTTTGTTGTTGTGATATTGTGTTCTTCTTCTTCTTCTTCTTCTTCTTCTTCTTCTACAATAGCCTCTCTGGCTAACTTAAAACCTTTATTGAGAGAGGGAGAGAGAAGATGAGGAAAATAATGAAAAAGGGTTTTTCTTTCGGTTATGATCAGCTTTCTTTTTACTTGCTTGCTTTAGATTTTCATCTTCTTCTTTTTTTTCATCAGCTTTATTTCTTCACCATCCTCTAAATCTAAACTAGTTTACTCTTTTAAGTTTAAAAAGTAAGAGGGAGAGGAAGAGGAAGAGGAAGAAGGAAAAAGGTGAGGGGTCTGAGCCAATCACATTGTTCTGAAAAACAATCAGAAATTGGACTGTAGATAAACAATGAATCCCCACCCCACCACAAAGATAGAAACAAAAAAACTCATAATTCATCATCTATCCTACACAGTGAATTTGCATGCATAAATAAATACGGGCCGCCACCTCCATATATATATATATATATATATATGAGTAATGTTAAGGATCATGAAAAAAATATCATGAAAATGATCATGAAAGATTTTCCACCTTTGAATTACACATACAATAAAATACCACACATAAATCAAATGATGAAAAATTTTCATCATATATTTTTCATGATCTCTAACATTATTCTATATATATACACGTAAACATTTTTTTTGTTATGTTTTATTTTGAGAAATACTATTTATCAAAAATGTGTTTATAATGATTTATATTGGGCAATTTTGAAAATTTAACAAAATTTAGTATCTTAGAATGAAGAGTGGATAAATATTTTAGGACAGACTAAAATGAAAAGATGGATAAATAAAATGCGAGAGACGGTGTATGACTTACCATACTATTTTAATTAGAAAAATGATATGCAAACTCATTTTTTAGACTTAATGATGTGTGAGAGATTATTGGTTGAATTAACGTAAAAAGTTTAGAGTAAATATATGAGAGATAGAGAATTGCCTTAAATATTTTAATTGATTGTCACATTATTAAATTTAAAAAATGAATTAACGTATAAAGTTTTGAGTTTTGAAAAACTATTTTTATGATATATAATAGCCCACTTTTTTTCTTTTCTTTTTTTTTTCATGGTTAGGATGAGTTTGTGATATTGGCAAGTAATGAATATTTTTTACTTCCACACAAACTTTCTTATTTCAGAAAAACTACAATTTTGGAAGAGACGAATTTTGATATTTTAATTTAATAATTGATGTACGAATAAATAATAATAATAATAATATGAATTGAGAAAATTACCGTATGAAATAGTATAGGATATTCGTTCAAAAAAAAAAAGAAATAGGATAGGATAGGAGCTCCCATCGTAAATCTCTACTTCTCCGTGCAAACAAAAGTTCTCAATTGTCGCAAATACCCCTCATTCATGAGTTCACAATGTTCACATAAATTCTAAAGTGACTTTTGATTTATAAATTTGGATAAATTTTTTTTTAAAAATTGCGTGAAATATAAATAAAATATAATCACATTTCACATATCTTAATTTCACGCACCTTAATTTTACCACAACACTTAAAAGGGTATCTTTGTCATTGCACACACCTTAATTTCTCTGACAAGGATACTTGCTTTATAATTGTTTAGGCTCATTTTAGGAAGTGAATTAAAAGTCACTTCCTAACTTTTAACCCCCTTCCCCTCTCACATAAAAAAGTCAAGAAGTCAATTTGTCAATTTTTAACTATTTTTTCAAAACACCCCTTAGTAAATAGATGACTCAAATTTGAATTAAAATTTTTATTTGGTTTCACAGTTGCATTAAAATCTTTTTTTTTGAATTATATACACGTAGAGTTTTACAAAATAAACGATTCAAATAATCAAAACATAATCTTAGTGAGTTCCTACGAGCCCAAATAGTACCTTTGGAGACAAACATGATAAAATAACGAAATTACGACTTGGATCAAACTAAATTTTTTCTGAATGAAAAATATAAATAGAAATCTTACAAATTTAATGGTTTGAATTATTGAAATGGAATCGTGATAAATGTAATTCAAATTGTGCAACTAATTAGTAGTCAAATTGTACTACAAATTAGTAGGAGTCATAAGTAAAAATTGAATGCAAAAAAAAGTGTGTATTTTAATTGATATATATATGTACACACACAAATTAGAATTCTCTACAATAACATTTGGTGCAACAATTTATCATGGTGGTTTAAGAGTGATTTGAACCCGAAAAGACAATCAATTGGGTTACAAGATTATTGCACAAAAAATTATTATAGAAAAGACTACTACCATACAGACAACCATGCAAAATATATATAGAAAGACACCAGTGATATATATGTAAAAGTAAGGAACCAAAAATGTTTTATTTTTTACTATTGATGAACATGATTGCAGCATCTAAAAGAACTAAAAGCCACACTTCAAAGCTTTACACAAGTAAAAGAAAGTGCCACACCACCTACCCCATCTTTAGCTAACATGCATGGTGTGGTGCTAGATCCATTGTTTCTTTTGGAGGTTGTGCATGTGCTACAAGAATCATTGAAAGGAAACTTATTTTCTAATATTTTATTAGTCGTGCAACTAATTAGTAGTCAAATTGTACTACAAATTAGTAGGAGTAATAAGTAAAAATTGAATGCAAAAAAAAGTGTGTATTTTAATTGATATATATGTACACACACAAATTAGAATTCTCTACAATAACATTTGGTGCAACAATTTATCATGGTGGTTTAAGAGTGATTTGAACCCTAAAACACAATCAATTGGTTTACAAGATTATTGCACAAAAAATTATTATAGAAAAGACTACCACCATACATACAACCATGCAAAATATATATAGAAAGACACCAGTGATATATATGTAAAAGTAAGGAACCAAAAATGTTTTATTTTTTACTATTGATGAACATGATTGCAGCATCTAAAAGAACTAAAAGCCACACTTCAAAGCTTTACACAAGTAAAAGAAAGTGCCACACCACCTACCCCATCTTTAGCTAACATGCATGGTGTGGTGCTAGATCCATTGTTTCTTTTGGAGGTTGTGCATGTGCTACAAGAATCATTGAAAGGAAACTTATTTTCTAATATTTTATTAGTCTCTCTTTTTTTATGTTTTTCCAAATCTTTCTTTGTTCAGGAAATTTATTAGATCAACCAGTAAAATATATTTACCTATCTAATAAAAAGACATTGGTAAAAGAGTGGAAGAAAAGCCTCTTTAACCAAAGAATTTTTCCTCTTATTGTTGAGCAAGACTTTTGCTCTATTTTATTCGCCCAAAAAAAGACTTTTTACTCTATTTTGATTAATATTGCTGGGATAGTCGCATAGCTTTTAGCTTAATTTCATAGTACTTTTTTCATTCTTTTTCTATTCATTCATAGGCATAGCATGTGCCCATAGGCTAGTGTATATTATATATATATATATATATACAGTATATAAGTCCATTTACATGACAACAAGGCACTTGGAGGGGACATGGGTCTTCAAGTTTCTAAAAGCAAATGAAAACTTGTAATGGATTTAGTTTTTAGTTTGGCTTTCAACAAATCAAATGCCATCAAAAAAGAAACACCATATAGAAACACAAAATAAAATGCCAAGATCATCCCATACGAATTTTGAAAAGAAAAAAAGAAAAAGAAAAAGAAACATGAGATCTCAATAAAAACAAAGCTCTAAACCGAAACAATACAGAACAGAGAGAGACTTACTGGACCTGCAAGTCAAAAGTTTCCCTGCAGAATTAGCAAAGAAGCAAAAATACCAGCAATATTTATATGTCCGTGATGATGAATCGAATGGAAAGCATTTGCTAGAAATCACAATCTCACGGAACGATGAAACATAAAACATTTCTTGTCCTTCCAGAGATTACCAGGGGCGTTGCACTTCACACTGGCCATCATTTCTTGTTCTTGTTCTTTCTACAAGTGTTGTATCTTTACCCTTCTGCTGCTGGGACTATGAACCAACAACAACAATGAAACCACAAAGAGTATACAGAATATTTATATTGATTTTAATTAATATATGTAATAAGCAGCTTTGTGGTTGGCCTGTAAATATTAGGCTTATTGTTATTGGAGGAGGCACATTTAATCTCAAGAATAACATTGCATTGAGAATTTTGTTATTGTTTAGTTTCTTTTACTTTTTTTTTTTTTTTTCCGATTGTTTACTCTAATTTTGAGAACGGTAAGGTACCATTGCTTCAACCCTTGATGTGGAGACCAACAAGGTACTCAAAGCTCCAGTGATTGCTTGTTCTAATTTCTCTTCATTTGATCAGTCGAACCCTCCATTGTCTTGTACCATCACCACCACACCACCATAGCCATAACATATTTGCAATCATCATGCCATTGCTACACTATTACTGCCTCACCGCCATCAACCACCACTAGTCACCATCGCTACATCGCAATTTAGCATTACGATTTCTTGGTCTACATCCCCATTGCTTTGCATTGCCGCTTCCATCGTCATATCGTTGAAGCATTGCAACGTTGCAGCCACCTGCCCTCCACAAATCCCATCCCATCAATATCCTCCATCAATCACTGTCAATATTGCCATATATAGCCAGAATTTTAGTCTCTGTTGATAGCGCACTTTATCAACAAACATGATTGCCAAAGACCCTTCCAGGGTTCCTTTGCCGTTCATTATATCGCATGACAAAGACGCTGCAACACAACAGAAGACTAGATGAGAAAAGAGCTTTGTTTATAAACTCAGATTAGGTGAAATTGGATGTGTAGATTTGACAAATTATGCACCCACACATAAATGAAATTATAATTGAACAAAACTTACCAAGTGCCAATTCTTGATTTGTCACTTACCAAAACTGACATATCTGTGTCATCGATTAACATAACAAGGGCCTGCTTTAGTGGAGCATTCTCATCATCCTATAAACAATTTGACGTAAATTAATGAGTATTGGTCGTATTGTCTACTGATTGCTGTAAACCACAAAGCGAGGAGACAGAGATCAATGACCAGTAGATGAGGAATGGTTTTAGAAATTATAAACTTGTTTTGATGAAAATGGAATTATGTTCAGAACAGCGTGTTTTCTTTTCTTTTCTTTTCTTCTGATTTTTCCTCATCACTGAGAATTGGAGCAAAATCATTATACATACAAGGAGTACACATGTTATAACTATGTCCCCGTATGCAAAATAACACAGGACAATATTGGTTTCCTGTTATAATTAAAAGAAAAAGAATAATGAGAAAGAAAATAAAAGCATATGCAGTCATATTCCTAAACAAAGATTTGTTCAGATGAACTTATCAAATAAAAATTGAATTTATAAGACCCTATGGTTATTTATGGAACAAAGTTAGCTGATCTGGCATAGATGTAAACCACATCAGAAAGACGGGTCCATGAGCATTGGACCAACCATTAGGTCAACATTTCTTTTGCGTGCTAACATTTAGGGTTGTGTCTCATTCTGTGATTAGATTTTGTGTAACTTAGAATTTTTCTTAGTTCAAAATATATTATGTTTAGAATATATGTTAGCATGAAAATATATAAGATGTCATAAAGCAAATCAAATTTTGCTACTATATCATATTATTACCATTAAGTATCCAACTATTCAGCCAGACATTCATGATCCCATCTTCACCAATACCCCCTGCAGGAGCAAGATCCATTCTTGAAATGATGAAAGCGACTTGCATCCCTCAGTATGATTTCATGGTTGATGATTCTAGAAATGTAAGTAATAGCACTATGGCAATCACCGCAGACACGCAAGTTTTTGGTGATCCTAATGGGCACCCCCGGAGGAGATGTGAGGATGCCATAGGCAAGAGCCAACTTTTCACTATGTTCAAAAAGAAGATCCCCTTTCTCCTCATCATCTACATCATGTAGAGCAAAGCTTGTCTCAGGAAAATAGCCAATGGCTTTAATGCGGCGAATCATATCTGCAAGTACATTATATATTTGTCGAGACATTGGATGGGATCGGTCTCCCACATAAAAGGTTGCAGTGCCCTTTTTTTCTTGGACCCAGCTGCAGCCAGGTCTCTTCTTGATCCCAGTATGTTTCATCAAAGATCTGATCCTCGCCACATCTTTCCATTGCCTAGCGTTGGCATATAAGTTTGAAAGTAGAGTATACGATCCATCATTCTCTAAATCTAATTCTAACAATTTATTTGCAGCATATTCCCCAAATTCCACATTGGCATGGGTCCGGCAAGCACTTAATAATGCCACCCATACTATTGGGCTTGGTTCCATAGGCATGCCTTCTATCAGTTTCATAGCTTCATTCAAACGACCAGCCCGACCCAAGAGGTCAACCATGCAAGCATAGTGTTCTACCCCGGGAACAACCCCATATTCCAATCTCATTCTGTTAAAAATTTTAATTCCCTGATCAACCATTCCTGAGTGACTGCAAGCATAGAGCAGTACAACAAAAGTTACACCGTCAGGCACCAGACCCGCCCTCCTCATCTCATCAAAAACTTGGAGAGCCTCTTCACCGCGACCATGCATGCCGTAACCTGTCATTAGGGATGTCCAAGAGACAGCATTTCTATGATACATGTTATCAAACACAGCACGAGCAGCATTGACATCTCCAGATTTGGCATACATATCTATTAGGCAATTGGCTTCAAATAGCATCACAGACCCATAACTGTTGCGTAATACGTAAGCATGAATTTGACTACCAAGTCTTAGTGCCGCCAGATGAGCACAAGCCATCAGAGCACACGATATTGTAAATGCATTTGGCACTACAGAATTATCCCGATTCAGCATGATCGAGAAAAGTTCCAATGCATCATTGGAATCCCCTTGTTGGGCATACCCACCAATCATAACAGTCCAGGTCACGACATTCCTTTCCTTCGGAGCTATGGAGTCAAAAATAGCGCGAGCGATTTTCGTACTTTTGCATTTAGAATACATGTCAATCAGACCATTGATCACCATCAAATTGTCCCCAGGATCACTACCATCTAAACTAAGAACGCATTTGATGGCGTAACAATGAGTCTCCTTCCCTTGAAGCAATGCTCGTGCAGAAGCACACCCGGACAGAAGAGACACGAGGGTAACAGCATTAGGTTCGGATCCACAAAGTTGCATTTGCCTAAACACGTTGAGCGCTTCATAGCCATGATCACTCTGAGCATAACCTGCAATTACAGCACTCCATGTCACAACATTCAACTCAATATTCTCCTCCCGCATTTTCTCAAATAAACTGAGAGCTTCGTCGCATCTACCAATTTGAGAATACCCAGTTACCATTGCATTCCAGGAAACAACATCCTTCACCCCCATCCCCTCGAAAACCTTGTTTGCTTCGTCCATCAATCCGTTCTTCGCATACATGTCCACTAAGGCATTGGCCACGAACAAATCCTCCAAAAGCCTGTTTCGAACTGCATAACCATGAACCTGCTTACCCCTCACCCCAGCACTAGCACAAGCCGGAAGGATATTAACTATGGTAATAGCATCCGCACGAAATTGAAAACCGGTATCTAAGTTCATCTTATCAAACATCTTCAGAGCAGTCCACGGATCCCCGTTCTGCACATAAGCAGCCACAATCGAATTCCACGAGACCAAATCACCAATACCTCTCATCAACAATTCATCAAACATATGGTGTGCATCGTCCAAAGCACCACAACGACTGTACATCGCAACAACCGCATTACAAACATAGACATTGGACTGAAACCCTTGAACACACGCAACGGCGTGGACAGAAGCGCCGCGGCGGAACGAGGGGAGCTCGCCGCAGGCCTTGAGAACAAAAGGGAAGGTGTAGCCGTCAGGGCGCCACCCGAGGCGGCGCATAAGGAGGAAGAGGCGGAGGACGGCGTTAAGGAAACCGAGGCGGACGTGGCGGCGGATGAGGTGGTTCCACCAGAAGACAGCGGAGGGAGAGGGAGGGAGGCGCTGGAGGGCGGCGAGGGCGAGGGAGTGGGCGTCGAAGGATGTGTAGGTGCTTATGAGGTGGGTTAGTGTGTGGGGGTCTGTGAGGCCTCGAACCGTGATTTGCTGGTGGAGTTGCTTGGCGTCGAGTAAAGAGTTGCATTGTTTGAGAATAGTGTAGGAGGTAGAGAAAGGGAGTGTCGTCGTCGTTGTTTGGGATCGGTCTCCCACATAAAAGGTTGCAGTGCCCTTTTTTTCTTGGACCCAGCTGTTAGTTTTGAAAGCAGCATAGTATACTCCCCACACACATAGGCACCACCGTGATGTGAATGACGGGGAGAATTTGAACAACGAAATGAGGGAAAGCAAGGGAATTCTCTTCTAAAAAATAATTACCCTGCAAATAGTAAACATTACATATAACTAAGCAATGGGCACACACCACAGTACGGTGATTTATTTTTTATTTTTTATTTTTTTTAAGGATTGGGAACTATTAATTTATCTGGAATAATAGTTTGTTATTTGGTTCAATATTTTTGCTTCAGACTAATAATTCTTCTGGACTATTAATCCCTCATATGAGAGATAAACGATCCTAGGTAGGGCGGAATTTTTTTTACGACAATGCTACGTAGCTCAAATTTTGTGGCTCAAAAGTGGTTCAAATGGCCAAAACGACGTCGTTTTGAGTACAGAACAACATAAAAATGGCCAAAACGACGTCGTTTTGGCCATTTATCCGGAATAATAGTTTGTTATTTGGTTCAATATTTTTGCTTCAGACTAATAATTTTTCCTGACTATTAATCCCTCATATGAGAGATAAACGATCCTAGGTAGGGCGGAATTATTTTTATGAGATTGATACCCTATAAGACTAATATGTGAAATGTTCATTTTACTCTCTTACTATTACTTAGTAAACAATTAAAAAATGATAAGATAATCTTTTAACATTTATAAATTATGTTTTAGTGTTGTCAATTTAAAATTATATATTAAATAAAAAATATAAATTATAAAGTTAATTTAATTAAAAATAATAAATTAAAAATTATGGCCTTATAAATTACATTTTTTTAGTATTGTTAAAAAATTAAATTTATATATTAAATAAAATTATTTTTTTAGTGTTGTTAATTTAAAATTATATATTAAATAAAAAATATAAATTATAAATTTAATTTAATTGAAAATAATAAATTAAAAATTATGGCCTTATAAATTAAAAATAATTTAGTGTTGTTAAATTATAAATTATAAATTGTAGATTACAAATTTAAAAGTATATATTAAATAAAAAATATAAATTATAAATTACAAGGGTAAAATAGTCTTTTGAACATTTATCATTATCCAGTCCATCCAACCAAACATTGGATTCATTAAAAATAATCAAATCCAGACATTTAATCTCATGACTAAACAAACATAGGATACTGTTAGACTTATTTATTTTGATGATTTATTTTATGTTTTAATTTATTTGGAAAAAAAAAAAAGAATCAAAATTTATTTTGATAATTTATTTGAAAGAGAAAAATAGAATCAACATTTATTTTGATGATTTATTTAATTATATTTTAATTTATTTGAAAGAGAAAAATACAATCAAAATTTATTTTGTCCCATTATTTCTCACCTAAACCTTTATCCTAAATGTTGTTAGAATGTATTTAATGTTTGATTAAATCAGGAGTTCAAACAGCCCAAAACAGAGGTTCAAACAGCCCAACCCAACAGCAGTTCAAAAGGTTCAAGTGAAAGATATTCAAATTTGTAATAATGGAGTGGAACATATTCAAATTAGTAATGATGGAGTGGAAGATATTCAAATGAATACAATGGCTATAAACGGTTATAAATTCAAATGAATACAACGATTATAAACGATTATAAGTTTCATTATATATACCAAAGCCTCTAATATAAACAAGTTATAAAAAAAAATCAGAAAATATTTTTTGATCTATAATCACTCACATCTATTCTCTGAAAAATGTTCTTCAATTTTTGTTTACATCCTCTCTTAAAAATTATATACTGAGCCTTATAGTATTAAACTCATCTTTCTTGTGTGAGATTTACAGAAAAATCAAAACTTCATTTTATATATGTTGATACCGTTCGTCCCAGTGGATGGATCAAACTGGTCCAAGCTCCCCAAGGCCAAGCCCAGAAGATCGAGCCCACCGGATATCCTGCAAACAAGTTCAACAGGGAACGGGGTAGTCCCCCAGTGAACCCTCCGACGATCAAGTTAGGAAGAGAAGTGGAGTATCCGGGAGAAGATTAGAGATGGAAAGTTTAACCTTTTTCCTTGTCTACAACGTTCGCTTATACCCTTTGGCAATCATTTCGCTGTCCCTTCCGACCTGCTCTCCTTACCGAAAGCCTATGCTGTAGCTCGCCTTGCTCAGGGTAAGGGGGTCCTGTTCCGGCGGAGAGGTGTTGTCGTAATAAATGCTGTGATGGGCTACATTAATGGTGATGTGCAGTGTCAATAACTTTGCAGATCTTTGTCTGCTGATGTGGTTCATCATTCTCTTGCCGTGTGTCTGAATGTCATTGGGTCTTTGTGTCATGTTGGACTCCAGCTGTCTTGGACCTCGTCAGCTGGGTTATGCACTGTGCTTCAAGTGATGGGCCGTGGGTGGTTCATGGCCTTTATGGGCTTATACACATCAGTAGTCCCCCAGTCCCAAGTGCAGCTTTAGTCCAATAAAGGGATTATGAGTGACATAGATGAGTGTGTTAGGGATTGGCAGGATGGAGGTTGACCGGGAAAAAGGGGGGGCTGACCGCGATGAGGGTCGACCGCGATGTGGACCGACTGGGAGGTCGATCGTGAGGAGGGCCGACCGGAGGGCTGACCGAGGGGAGGGCCGACCGCGGTGTTGACCGAGCGAGAAGGCTGACCGCGGGGAAGGCCGACCACGATGTGGACCGACTGGGAGGCCGACGCGAGGAGGGCCGACCGGAGGGCTAACCGAGGGGAGGGCCGACCGCGGTGTTGGCCGAGCGGGAAGGCTGACCGCGGGAAAGGCTGACCGCGATGTGGACCGACTGGGAGGCCGACCACGAGGAGGGCCGACCGGAGGGCTGACCGATGGGAGGGTCGACCGGGGTGTTGGCTGAACGGGAAGGCCGACCGCGGGGAAGGCCGACCGCGAGGAGAGCCGACCGGAGGGCTGACCGAAGGGAGGGCCGACCGCGGTGTTGGCCGAGCGGGAAGGCTGACCGCAGGGAGGACCGACCGTGGGGAGGGTGAGGTGGAGGAGCGTGGGGCTCGAGACGCGGCGGGCCACGTGGTGAGTTGAAGTGGAAAAGACAAGGTAAGGGGTGGACGTACACGTGGCAACATCCCGTAGGGGGGAAGATTAGGCGTTCGATCAGAAATGAAACGGTAAGTCATTATGGTTGTTGAAGAGACAGTTTTGGCGGATGATTTTGAAAAGTTTTCAAACTGGCGGAAATTAATTGGGATCCTTGGAATACGGGCAAACCGTGGGCTTTTGGCATTATTCGATTTACCTATCTGGTTACGAAAAATCAAAATATTCCAAGTGTGAATTCCTTTGTTGCTCACAATGCACCTCTGCAACACTTTTGCGATTTCTTTGCTCCTGCCGCCGAAGCGATTTGCAAATATACCACAGAAATGGCCGAAGAAGGGACGACAATTGTTAGGGTGGACCCGCTTGGGGATGACGATGCTGTGGAGCTAGCGGCGCAGTATAGGACAGAGAGGGTGGGGGAGTCGGTGGTACGACCCCGCGGTTCCACCATGATAGCGGCGCCAAAGCCAATCAGCCAGGCGAAACCAGATCATTGGCATACGAAGGCTGACAAATCCACGATTATTGGGACGGAGTTGGAGGCTATCCGCGAAAAATACCAAATCCCTAGGGAAGTGGAGCTATTGCTGCTGACATCAACGGAAAGGCCGTCCGACGCCAGGCCAGGGAAGTTTTCTCTATATGAGGAAGCTCTGAAGGGTGGGTTGAGGTTGCCGCTGCCGCAAGTGGTGGTGGATGTACTCAACCGTCTGGAGGTAGCACCGGGGCAGCTAATGCCCAACGCATGGAAGATCCTGCTGGCCTACCCAAGTGCCTGGCCGAAAGCGAATGGAGGGGAGGCCATGACAGTGGACGAATTCTTTGCATGTTATAAGGCCTCGGGGCAGTAGGAGACGTGGGTCACTCTGCAGGCATCAGCGGGGAGAGGGTTGGTGGCGGGGTTACCGTCGTCGATCAAGGAGTGGCGACCACGATGGTTCTACGTGTCTGCCAATAAGGGGCTGGGAGTGCGCACCGTTTGGAAAGTACCCATCCGGTCGGTGAAGCCGAAACTAGGGACAGCTGCGGAGGGGAGGGTGAAGAGGGTGAAGGAATGGAAGGAGAAGAAAATACCAAATGGGACGAGCTCGTGCAGCCGTCGGCATTGTTTGAGGCGGGGTTGGGGCCGAAACCAAATAGTGGGGACCTCGACCGAGCAGAGTTAGAGGCGAGGAGAAGGGCTCAGGAGGCGGAAGATCAGGCCATTCTGGCAAAAGCCCAACAATTCAAAGAATCCCAGCTGACCGACCACCAAAACCGGTTGCGAGGGAGAGGATTCGACCTCGCCCCAAACCCTTGGGAGAGAAAAACTTAAGCGATTTTGTGCCACAGCCGCCCCCAATAGACGCTTTGAATGAGAGGTCTTTGAGGGAGATGGAGGCGTTGGACGTGGGGAAGATGAAGAAGAGGGCGAGGCGCAGTGAGGAAGTGCTTGCCCAGAAGAGGAAGAGGGAGACAGGTGCAGAGGAAACCAGTGTTGGTAAGGGGGGAGAAGTGGAAGGGGTCCCAGGGAGGATAGGTGGCCCAGAGGCGGTGGAAGTTGGTTCAGAGGGGATGGAGGTTGTGCCAGTGGTGGCGACGATCGCCGTAGGGGTCGCAGAGGCCGCCCCCGAATGGCAAGTGGGAGATGAGGCAGCTGGCCCAGAGCCAAGGAGGGAAGAACAGCCCAAGGGGGGTCCTACACCTCAAACAAGGGGGGTCAGTCTAAATACGGCGATCTACCATGCTCGTGCGGTGGCGGGGCGGCTGGAAGGGGAAGAAGGCCCAGCCAGGACGGGAGCAGACCGCTTGGTAGGGGTGGTAGAAGAGGAAGCCTTGCGCTCGGCATCTAGATTCAACGAGGCCGAACTGCTAAGGGGTTTGTACTCCGCTCAAATGGAGGTAACCACCTGAGCGGGGGCTCTGCTGAGGAAGGTGGGGCTGCCAAACTCAAGGCAGATGAGGCCAGGGCTCAGCTTGCCAAGTTAAAGAAGAAGAGTGCAAGTTGGGAGAGTGCCCATACTGAGTTACAAGCAGTTAAGGTGGAGCTGGAGGACACACGCCGCCAGGTTGTGTCGCTCGAGTTCCAGCTTGCTGGCGAGCAGAAGAAGGTGGAGGAGGCCCAAAGAGCTTGCGTCGTCGCGGTCGAGCGACATGAAGAGGCCATGAGTAGTAACGAAGAGCTGGTCAGGCAAAAAAATGAGGCTGATGGCAAAGTAGGCGATCTCCAGAAGGAGCTGGAGGGAGAGCGCGCCAAGGCAGTGGAGGAGAAGGAGAGGCTTCAGAAGGAGTTAGAAGTAGAGAGAGTGCAGGCGACGGCAGAGAAGGAGAGCCTGAAGAAGGAGTTGGAGGCAGAACGGGCAAAGGCTGCGTCAGAGAGGTCGGCCCTGCAGAAAGAGCTGGACGAAGAAAGAGTAAAGGCAGCCTCTGAAAGGGCGGCTTATCCCGATATGTGCGTCGCAGCAGTGGAGCAATTCAAAAGGTCGGCCGAATTTCAGACGGCGGTTGATGCCGCGGTTGCGAGTAGCCTGGCTGGGCAAGAATCTGGGGGGGGCGGGCCCATCGAGGACGACCGCTAGAAACAGAACTGACGCAGAGGTTATTGCAAGCTTCCAGCAGTCCGACTTTTATAAGCATGAAATGGCTGAGTACTGGGACAATGGTTGGAAGATGTTCAAACATAGAGCCGAAGAGCTGTTCCCAGGCTTAGACCTTAGTAGTGTAATGATTGGTGAAGACGATGTGGCCCAAACTCCCCTGGATGAGGGCATTGAAGAAGAAGACCTCCTCTCCAGTGGGGAGGAGTAACTGGGGAGAAAGAGACACTTTGTTGTTTTTGTTGTTGTTTTTTTTTTGTAATGAATATTTGTACATGAACTGCTGTAATGAACTTTTACACAAAGTTGTGAATGAATAAAATTTCGTTTGATTGTCATTTGATTGTTTCTGTTTGTGTATCTGAGATGAATGAAGCGTAGGCGTAAACTTGTAATAAAGACTGAATGCAGACTAAAGTTGAGAACGCCACAATGTAAAGTGAGACTTAAAATGATAAGCCTGTGAACTTTTTTTAAAAAAAAATATGATAAGAACGTCTTTGGAATTTGACTAAGTAAAGAGTGTTGTGAAGACTTGGACCTGGAATTGTGACTAAGTGTGACTGTTAATTCCACACGTGTGAAATTTTGCATGGGTGGTTTTGACCGAGCCCAATATGTTAGGCCTGGCCGAGTGCTTCACGCTCAGTCCGGATGGGGTCTTCAGCGCTCGGTCTGGCTGAGTGTGTTAACAGTCGGACTGCCCGAGGCGGCTCTTGCTCAGTCTGGCTGAGACATTTAGTGCTCGGTCTGGCTGAGGCGTTAAGTACTCAGTCTGGCTGAGGCTTGTAGTGCTCAGTCCGGCTGAGGCTTTTAGTGCTCAGTCTGGCTGAGGCTTGTAGTTCTCAGTCTGGCTGAGGCTTTTAGTGCTCAGTCTGGCTGAGGCGTTAAGTGCTCAATCTGGTTGAGGCTTGTAGTGCTCAGTCTGGCTGAGGCTTTTAGTACGGAGGCTTTTAATGCTGCAAATAAGAATGTTACTGAGACAACATATAGATAGCTGAGATATATAATCAAGAAGTTACATTGCGTAGGGGAATATCAAGAATGTGTGAGTTTCCCGAAAAGAAAATATAGTGACTGAGCAATATAAAAATAGGAGCTTTATTGAAAGTAACGTTTAAGGTGTTCGGCGTTCCATGGGTAGGGGAGGTCTTGACCTTCCATGTCCTGAAGTCGGTAAGTGCCTGGTCGGGGTCGAGCTTTCACAACAAAAGGTCTCTCCTATTTGGCTGCTAATTTACCCTCGGTCGGATTTCTGGTAGCAAGGGTTGCTTCTCTCAGGACAAGATCCCCTACAGTGAACTCCCTTGGTCAGACCTTGCGGTTGTAGTGTGTTCTCATTTTCTATTGGTATGAGGCCAGTCGGACAGCGGTGGTGTCTCTGAGTTCTTCAATTAGGTCCAGGTCTGCCCGACGGAGTTCTTCGGTTAGTGCTGGATCCAAATGTAAAACCCTGGGGGTAGGCAGACCGACTTCGACTGGGATAACCGCCTCAGCGCCGTATGTTAAGCGGAAAGGGGTTTCCCTAGTGGGAGTCCGAGCTGTAGTTCGATAAGCCCAGAGTACATTTGGAAGCTCCTCAGCCCAAAGTCCCTTAGCAGCTTCTAGCTTGGTTTTGATGATCTTCAGAAGAGAACGGTTGGTGACCTCAACTTGGCCATTGGCTTGGGGATGACCGGAGAAAGAAAAGCAGGGCTGAATCTGCAGGTCCGAACAGAACTTTATGTATTTGGCGTTGTCGAATTGTTTACCGTTGTCGAAGACGATGGCCTGGGAGATGCCAAACCTGCAAACGATTGATTGCCAGATAAACTTGGTCGTGTTCCGTTCGGTAATGGTGGCGAGGGGTTCTGCCTCTACCCACTTGGTGAAGTAATCAATGGCGACGATTACAAACTTGGTCTGACCTCGGCCAGTGGGAAGTGGACCGACCAGGTCGATTCCCCATTTGGCGAATGGGTAGGGGCTGCAAAGCGTGATCAACTCTGTAGGAGAAGCATGGGGGATGTTGGCAAAGCGCTGACACTTGTCACATTTGAGCACGAAGTCAGCCGCGTCTTGGTTGAGAGTTGGCCAGAAATATCCCGTGCGAAGTATCTTGTGGGCCAGGGACCTGCCGCCCGAGTGATTGCCGCAGATCCCCTCATGAATTTCTTGCATCACATAAGTTGCTTGAGTCGGATTGAGGCACCGCAGATAGGGGCGTGAGAAACCACGTTTGTACAAGATGCCGTCGACAAGGATGTAATTGGACGATCGTACCTTGATTTTAGCGGCTTGCTGGTGGTCATCTGGGAGTTCCCTTGCTGTCAGAAATCGAAAGATATCCGATGCCCAAGGGATGGGCTCAATTTGGAGGAATTGTACTTCGTACTGGTCGGGGGAAATGGCGGGGTGGGACAGGTATTCGAGACGGACACCACTGCTGAGGGTGGACTGGTCTGCGGAAGCCAGTTGGGCCATCTCATCTGCCTTAGAGTTCTCTGCCCGAGGAATGTGCTTGATGTGGAAGGTATTGAAGAGGCGAATAAGGGGGAGTGCGAGATCCCTATAAGTCCGCATTGTGCCCTCCTTGGCGTCAAATTCGCCCGTGATCTGTCCGATGATGAGCTGAAAGTCGCTGAGCACTCGGATGTAGCTGACACCAATGTCCCTGGCTAGGCGAAGGCCTGCTATTAGTGCCTCATATTCGGCCTCATTATTACTGGCCTCAAACAAGAAGCGGAGTGCACATTTGAAATACCCACCCTCGGGGCTGGTGAGAATGAGGCCAACCCCACTACCTTGCCTACGGGATGATCCGTCTACGTTGAGAGTCCAAGAGTGAGGGTCTTCTGGCTCGATGGGAGCTGGCAGGGGTAGAGGGGCAGTGGTTGGGGTAGGATTAGTGAATTCCAAGATGAAGTCGGCGATAGCCTGTCCCTTAATTGCTGTTCGAGATCGGTAAGAGATGTCAAACTGGCTGAGTTCCACTGACCACTGCATAAGTCTGCCGGAAAGTTCTGGTTGCTGCATGACCTTCTTCAAGGGTTGGTCGATAAGGACCACTATGGAATGGGCTTGGAAGTAAGGACGGAGTCGTCTAGAGGCGGTGACCAAGGCCAAGGATAATTTTTCTAATAGGGGGTAGTTCTGCTCTGCTCCCCTGAGGGCCTGACTAATGTAGTAGACCGATCGTTGGACAAAGTCGTCTTCCTTGATAAGAGCTGCACTGACTACGGTGCTTGAGACGGCTAAATAGAGGAAGAGGGACTCGCCCGTAATTGCTTGTGAAAGGAGAGGTGGATTGGCCATGCACAGCTTTAACTGCTGAAAAGCCTCTTCAGATTCAGTTGTCCATTCAAAAGTTTGTCGAAGAACTTTGAAGAACGGTAGGCACTTATCTGTTGTACGGGAAATGAAACGGTTGAGGGTTGCAACTTGGCCAGTGAGTCTTTGAACCTCCTTGACCGTCCTGGGAGACTGCATTGATTTTTTCAAGGTTAGCTTCAATGCCCCGCTGGCTGACCATAAAACCCAGAAACTTTCCA